CGTTGCCGGTAAGATAATGGCACGTGGAAAGACAAAGACGAAGAATCTAATGAAAAGCATGAAAAATGAGAATAAAATGTGGCAAGTTTGTGCTTGTAGAATTTTACAACCGAATTGTATTGAATACTAATTTGCTTTATTAATCGACCGATTAAATACAAGTAGAACTGGTAAAAAAATTTCGGGCAACACTTTCTATTTTGAATATACATACGTGTATGCACATATAAACAAAACTAAACCAACAAGAGAATGAATCGAATAAATCGAATAATAAACTGGCTTAAATGGGCGTGCAGATGCAACGAAATTTGCATGAAATCAGGTCATGAATGGAAAGTGTATGTAAATCTATGGAAAATACTGGATTAGGAAGATAAAATATAAATCGATTAAAAAGCCATACTCCAATAGCTGAGAGAAGTAGAAATACAACATAGCCAGATTTGAAGTTAGGTTGGGTTTGGTGAAGGTTAGATTGTCAGTTAGAGATTTCACAGGAATATGATGAAATTTTTCATGCAGCAACTATCGATGTACATAATAAATTTTTATGGCATTTCAGCCACCAAGACAGCCATTTATTTATTATATTTTTGTTGCATTTTCTTAAGCTAGTTTTAGTTTTGGTTTATTTTTTTTATAAAAGTTGGCTAGTCGTCTTACGTTGGCAACGAATGGGGACGAAGATAGTAGTGCCACTTTATAAATATGCATGAATGTGATTATGTATGTTCGTGCAGTGGAAAGATGTGCGTCAATTTAGTGCAAAAGAGGAATTCCAAAGACGAGTTGCTACTTGTAATTTGTTGCAACCGCATTTTATAATGCAAAAGGGAAATGCTGTAATACTTATAAACTGCATTTATCATGTTATAAATACCAACAAATAGAGAGTAGAAAAAAAATAAGTTTATTATTACAAAATGAGAAGAGTTGAGACCTTGTTTGAGCCATTAAATGCCCACTTCAGTTGTAAAAATTAGTTAATAGCATTCTTTCATCTTTTTTATTGTGTACATAGATATTCATGAAGAAAGTTGATTTATGCTCAATAAAGCCAAAAGAATTTATGTCTAGCTATTACCAACCATAATTATGGCATTTAGACACTGAGACATACCGACCGCATATGCATGGTAGAACATTTTTTTAATATTCAGAAAAATCTAGCAGTCGATAAAACAGCATAAATGTTGATAAGAAAATCAAGTCAAACCTCTATGAAAAACTCATACAAGCAACATTATAATGCAACGCACTTTAAACACTTCAAGTTGTAGAAAAAACACATAGTACTGTTATGACATAAAATTTACAGTTGTCCAAGAACACCACCAACACCTTTTGCCACAGTGACAATATAAAGCTAGCGTTATTTATACTTTAAACTTGTTACGCTCATGGTCACCTAGTTGTAGGTTGTTTGGTATTTAAAAAGTTGTTTCGAGTTGTTGTAGTTAGTTCACACCATACTATGCTGGTTAGCCGATTGGTTGCATGCCACTTACAAATAGGTACATAAGCATGTATGATATACTAAATGTGCGTGCCACACCTGAGGTGTTGCGGTTGAGGGAAATGAAATTATGGCAGTTGGACAAAGTAGCGGACTACGCTTTAATCTACACATGCAGGTCTGTATGTGCGTGTGTGTGTGTGTGTGTGTGTGAATAATGTTGAAGAACATTCATTTATATTTCAAGAAAAAACACTTATACAGCACAGATTGCAAAATGTCTAACCACAAAAATAGAAATATCTTTGAATCAAAACAAGCGAGATGTTTAAAAGAACTTCAAAAGAAACAAAAAAATCAAAAATAATCTCAATTAACAGTAAAGTAGCCTAGAAAGCAGTTATTTTATCATAATTCATCATTATTTTCTTTTAACAAAATACACACACACACACAAATTAACTAAGCTAAAGAGCGCATAATTAGTCGGCAGTTACAGAACGAAACTACAAAAAACAAAAGACTTAAGCTACAAACACATTTCAGTAACATAAAAACAACTCGATGAAAGTCTAAGGTCAATTAGTAAGTTAAGGCATTTCAAGCGCATAATAAATTAAATTTAATTTATGTATTTTAAGTAAATAAATAAATAAAATAAAATAAAATAAATTAAATTAAAACTAAATTAAATTAAATTAAATTAAAATTAAATTAAGCCAAACAAAATAAATTTGATTAAATGAATAATGAATAGACAAAATGAAAAAAGTAAAGCAAAAAAAATAAAATAAAATAAACTAATTCAATCTAAATAAAATAGATTAATTATAATAAAGTAAAGTAAATCAATAAAATGAAGTAAAATAAAACAGAATAGAACAGATAATAAAATAAACTAAAATAAGACATGATAAAGTAAATAAAAAAATATATTACTTAAACAAAACAGAGGAAAAGAAAAAAAAATCTCATATATTGTATAACAGAAAACAAAATATACAACAAAATAATTAAAATAAAGCAAAATAATGTAAAACGATTTAATATTGAATAAAATAAATAAACAAAATTAAATTATATTATATAAAAATGTTTCCCATATCATCAATAAATTATATAGTAGTTACGTTATTGAAAAACAAACAAAAAATAGCAGTCAACTTTCATGCTCAACTGTAATGACGGTTTCATAATTACGCTTTCAGTTAAAATCAGTTTACTGCCTAAAATAGGTTTGCAGCTTTTTTCTATGCTCATTTTGCTAATAACAATAATTTTCATTGTGATTGGCACGCTTTTATTTAGTATCTTAACTACTTTGTGAGTCTTTTTTAGATAGATTTCACGCTAAATTAACAAAGAGAAGCTATTGTGTGGAAACTTTTTAGGTATATATGTGAAAGCATATATAAACAAACACACACATATACCTTGCTTGCTCATGCTTTTATTGTTCATATGCATACATATATGTATGTATGTATAATAGCATAACTATGACCCTGCCAAATTTCATTTTCACTTGATAATAACACATATGTATAAATATATATATACATTGAGTGGAAGATTTATTATTTTATTAGTTATGTTTGTATGTCTGCATAAGGTAAAAATATACAATAATTAATTGAAATGAGTTTGCGTGATATTTGAAAATATCATTGTTACACCAATAAGACACAATATTACCAAAAACAGTTATACGAATACGATGAAAGGATAACTAATTCATGGCTGTATGACAAATCCCACACCTTTTCAAATGCTCATACATGAGAAAATTGTTTGTATTAATTTTCAATTTCATTAAATTAATGCATAAACTCTTTGTAATGTCATTAAAGCAGTATACAAAAATACACTTTTTATTCCCACAGTATTTCTTCATTATCTCACACTTTCACGTTTAATTAAATTCAACTCAATAAAATTACGGTAATTAATCTGCAATACATGCTAAATTCCCAAGGATAAGCAACTAATGAATATTACGGTTATAATAATTAAAAATTGTTTATTTTTATTTTTTTATTTTATTTTAGTTTCTATTTTAATTTATTTTAATTTAACTTGATTTACAATAATTAATTTTATTTTTGAATGTTTTTTTTTTATTTCATTTTAATTTAATTTGTTATACAATTTTTTCAAATCAAATAGACCATTTCTCATCATGTACTACTACTACTTGTATTTTTAGGTTTGAGTGCAAAATGAAGTGGAGCATAAAATTGCATAAAACGAGTATTGCGATAATTGCAAGTTTAAGTAGTACGTTTTTTTGCAACAAAAAATATATGCCTGTCTATTTGTACGTATAATATATGGGAGCATAAAAATCTTTATCAAAGAATACCGCCTGCTTGTATAGCGCCGGGTGGCCCCAAAGTAGCGCAGTTCGCGTGGAGCACGAGCAAAAACTGCAATAGTTTCTTATATCTAGAGATTGCAATGTATTTGCACATACATACCAATATACTTATATGTAATGCAAGGCAACTTTATGGCTGCAAAGTTGGACTAGTAACTGAGCTTAGGTTCTTACTCAGTATACAAAAGCAATTACTTTTTTTTCATGCACAAAATGTACTTTAACAAAAAAGTATTTAAACTTCTAGTACACTTTATTTCTATTGTTGTTGTGCAGAATTAGCAGAAAACTGTAGCTACTACAGTGATTTACACCATTGGCCTTACTGGCATTCATACCATCGGAGAAGTAACTTCTTCACCTTTAAAGTCCGCAAATTGGGTACGGTTACATTATAAAGGCATTTGAGTATGTAAATATTTAAGACTTTTATCATAAAATTTAACTGTTGCTGCCATAGCTCTCATCTAACAAGCATCTAATGTTTTTCAGTACTTATATCAAAAGGTTATTTACGCTTACCTCTTTTATTGGCCAATTGTTGTTGTAACCTAAAGGGAGTTTCAGTCCAATATTTGCCTAAATCTAGGGCATACAAAAAAAATGTACCTAGGGCCGGGAGCACACAGAAAGCTAATAGTGTTTGCTGTGTAATTTTTTGTTCTGCTTTATATTGTTTAGTTTTATTTTACTATATTTTATTTACTGTATTTAATTTATATATTTATTTATTTTATTTTTTTGCTATGTTTTATTTTAATTTTATTATTTTGATTTCATTTTTTGTTCCCTTTTATTTTATTTTTTTATAGTTTTTATTTTATTTTGTTTTATTTTCTTCTTTTTTACTTTTTAATTTTTTTTTTACTCTTATTTATTAAGTTTTATTTTTTATTCCTACTTTTTTTCATTACTCATAATTATATTTATTTTTATTTAATTAATTTTATTTTATCTCTTTTTGTTATATACAGTTTTGTTTTATTGTATTTTTATTTTGTTGTATTTTCAGTTTATTAAATTTTTATTTTATTTTATTTTGCCTTATTGTATTTTTATTTCATTATATTTTATTTTATTTTATCTTACTTTACTGTAGTGCGTATTTTTTTATACTTTGTTTTGTTTTTCTTTCGTTTTTTTCTGAACTTGAATTTACTTTATGTTTTCATTTTTACTATTTACCCAAATATATAGCAAATAGCAAACAAAGCAGCTTAGCTTAGTTTGCCAAAATGTTCCCATACAGATTTGTAGTAGTCGCTAATAGTGCAATACGACTTTTGCCACAAATTTGCACGAATTGCATATTAAAATGTTTCTTCAACCCACACACACACATACTACCCACACCCTCTGATATGCCCCTTTGAACTCGCCTGCCAGTGCTTCAACAAACACTTTCTGCTTTTTTCCTGCGACGAAAATCAAAGTTTCGATTTTCTCTTTTCGTTGCAATGTTATTTTCGCAGAGTCTTTTTTTATGGCAAACCATTTCAATTGCGCCGCATATAACGGGGTTAGAGTTCAAGCAGTGGCTGACTATAGTATATGTTGTTTTTAAAATGTTTCTTTTTTTAGTTTCTTCGTTATTTTTTCTGCTTTGCAAACTTTATTGATTTTTATTTTTACGATTTTTCGTTTAACGACAGACAACACTCAATCTATTCGGTTGGCAATTGGTGTTACTATCGTTGAGTTTCTGTTGCAGTTAGTTTTTTTTGTTGTTGCTGTAGTTGTTGTTGTTGTCTCACGGCAGCGATAAAGTCGTGTCTGACATTGTCAGCTGGGTGGGTTGTTGGCAAGACAGCGGAAAAGTAAATGAACGGGCGAGTGAACGTGCGCGCTCTCAATTACCAACGAGTGTCTAGCAGGGACCTTAATGCTTGTACATACACGTAGGTATGTAGGAACGTGTATGCACAGTTATACAAATAGATAACCTCAAATTCGTACAAATTCAGTTTCAAATAAAGTTTGTGATTCTCAAGTTGCTTGAGCGCATCTGTAAATACACCATGAGCTTTCACATCCAACATACTCGTCGTACTCTTATTGTAGTACAGGCTCAAGTGCTCGTGCATACCTACAGTTACTAACCATTATTTGCACTATTTGATTTTCTCGCTACTACTAGCAGTGGGCTCTCCTACTTTTTTTTTTATTTATTGATAAAACGGTACTTATTTGCATTTCGGTGATTTTTCCGCGTTTTCTTTTTTTCGACCACTCGTGCGCTGTCTGTCGTTGGTTTCTTTTTTACGACCACGTTCTTTTCGCTACACCCTTTTTTGCTATTTTCGCTCGTTGCAGTCTCGATTGCTTTCATGTCATGTGTTCGTTGCTTTTTTTCTTTCAAATGCAATTTCTGTCATTCACTATTGATTTTTGTGTTGTTTGTGGATTTTTCTCCGACTCGACGCTTGCTGTTGTTTATTATACATTGCAGTTCAAGTTGAGATTGTGAAGTTGCGGAGATTGAGTAGAAAGTGACATTTCCGCTGCTGTGCTTGAGTTGATTTTGAAGAGGTTGATCACTTGAACTTCAGAAGTGGGAAAAATTTTGTACTCGCATACTCGTATGAGCGACTGTAATGAATGTTAGAGTTCATTTTTTTAGGTTATGTGTAAAATTTTAGTTTCCTATAAATGGTGATCTTTTAGACATAATTTTTTAGTGACTTTTTGAGTATTTTTTTATTTGTTCAAGCTCAAGGTTAATAACAGTTTTACTTATGCTGTCAAAGAAAAGTGAATTTTGGTGAGTTCATTGATTTTTTATCACTTTACTATGCGTCACTGAAGACTATCTGCTATAAAAAATCTGTTTAATATTTTACCTCTGCCTTTGGGTCATTTTCGAAATTGTGAAAGTAATAGTTATGGGTGTAGAGGAGAAAAAACGTCTCTGCGACTGAACTGAACTGCGATCCGCTGAGATGGAGTATACCGTGCAGCTTTTATGTCTTTTCTATTCTTACCATTTAGTGTAAATAAGTAAGGTTGTATCTATTTATATTTTGAAATAAAAAAAATTGTTAATATAAAAACCCAAAGCCTTGTCATTCAACTATGGAAAAATGTAAATCAATATAAAATTGAAATAATTAATTGGTAAAATGTAATTATTATATTGTACTCAAATTAATCTACTTAATTATCTGTTTGAATACTTTTATTGAAATTTTACACGTAAATAAGTATGTAAAATAAAAGGGTTCAAAATGAGATTAATCAATTTGTTTATGTCTTATGAAGTTTAATAGAGATTAGAAACTAAGTCTCGTAAGGGCTGCCACCTGTTGAAATATATTGCTAATACAATTTATTTGAATAAAATTCATAATAAAACCATTTTTTCTTCTAAAAAGCGGCTCAAAAATAAAGAACACAAGCTTCGTTTTTGGTAACTATATTTTCACAAGGTAGTCGTCAGTTAAAAATCGGTTAAAAAGCTATTAAGTAAACGAAATATTTTAATGTGGTAACAAATAATCATTAAAATAAATCAATGTTATGAAAGAATTCTTCGCGGTATTTTGTTATAGCTTTAAACACATATTTTCAGTTTTAATCGAGTATACATTGATAACTGTAATAGACAATGGACTTTTTGCCAGTTTTGGGCTAGTTTCGTAATTCTAGGGCTATAAAGTGGCGGCATCAAACAATTTTTCCTTGGTTCATATAGTCAGCATCACCATTCTTGCCGCCGATTCAAGCACCAAGTCGCAGGGTCGCAGGAACCCAGGGCTTTGAGGATTTTATTTTGTTTTATATTTTCGCATTAATCCATTTTTTATCGCCCTTGATGAGTCGCTTCAGAAATGGTTCGAAAAACGAGTATCATCTTTAAGCAAATGTTTGTTTCGTCGATTTCCAATAATTTCGATGTAAAAGGTTCCAGGAGCTAAAGATTGCGCAAAACTGTTTTAAACGCCTTGAAAAAAGGTGGATACACAAAGAAGCTGAATCTGCAAATCTCTGCTGAATCGTAACAAAGTCGGAAGTGAATCGGTACAAACTGTATTTAATTTTCTTTTTAATTTTTTATTTATTTATTTATTTTAATTCTTTTATAATTTTGTATTTTTTTTAGTAACCTATATGAGATCAAATCAGAAAGTAATACTTATAAAAGAAAAAATTTGTTCAAACAAAGTATTTTATTGTAGTTTTTAATAAAAGTGCCATAATCCTTTTAGGCGCATACATATCTACGCAAATAATTGTATTGATTGATGGCTCACATGCAAAAATTCAATTACTCGATTGAGTGCGCGCGCCACATGACCGCAACGATTGGGATAGACACATAAGCACATCCACTATGTATGCACACACGTATATATGTATGTATGTAGATGTAATGTAGGGAAATCAAGCTAACCATTGAATGAACTTTTTTTCCACATAAGCAAATATCGAACAATGCCTGTGCGTGTATGTGTGCCACAATGGAGCTGAGTTGAATGCAGATATGATTAAAAAATTGTTATGATGCACTTTACCATAAGCGCCAATCTGTACGTTTGCATTGTGGTATATTTGTACAGGCATGTAATTTCACGTGATCAGCTGCATGCACAATCAACTCTCAACTCTTTCACCGAATGCCGATAGATTCACACGGATGGAAAGAAAAAATACAACGGATAACTATTTATGTATTGTACATCCTTACATACATAAACATGCATATGTGCGTGTGTGTTTGTTTACCTGTAGTGTTATAATCATACGAATACATATCTGCGCCTCACTTGCCTCGCAAAACGTGAAATTTAGACGTGTGTGAAGGTCTTGATTTTGATTAACCTCATTTTTATGCAACATGAGGCAGGCGTGCAAGCAGGCAGATAGGCAGGCAGACAAACACTTAGTAAAGCCAGCCACGATAATAATAATAATAACAACAAATAATTGAATTATGCGCCCAACGCGCGCTCACGTGCCCACATGCCACACGCTGATAACAATTGCAACTTATGGCTGATAGACAGGCACACTGACAAGCCGACAGGCGTGCAAACCTTTAGAGACATGCAGTATGCTCATATGTTGATAGAATGAAGATGGACTGCAACTAAAAGTGTGGCTATCAGACAGCTGAACAGCAAACAAGAATACAATCTTCCGAGGAGGTTCGTGTTACAATGTAATCTGGCTACTTTTGAGGTTCTTCGTTGATATTCTTGGCAAAGCGAAATGCTCTGCCTATCAATTGCAGAGTAATAAATGTAACTAGTTCACTTCGGTTGAGTACTTTGAAGCGAACTTTTGTGCAACTGGTGTCATTTCACCTAGAAATTATTTGCCTCCCTTCGGTTGAGTACTAGTCCAAATAATAAACTATGCAATTTCTTGTAATAAAATTTTATTTCAAAGCAACAAATATGAAAAAAAGTTGCATACGTACAAGCTTTCACCTTTTTTTATGTGCATTTAATAAAACTTCTCAACCATCTGAAGGTAAACTTCAAGACCTTCGATTAACCTAAAACATTTTTAAATTCTTAGTGAAAGAATACTTTCTAATTTTGACTACTTTTATTTATTGTACACACGATTTTGCTTCGGAAATAGTTCCACTAAGCAATTCTTTGCACTAATTCCAAACTGAATATGCCATAACTAGTTAAGTTAAGAAGCAGTCCTTTAGGAGAAATCATCAGTGTCCACCACATTATAGGTTTGCAAATGTTTTATGGGCTGTTATGTTCGTGCCACTTGTACTATGTGGCAGCATAAAATCATATTATCATCAGTTTCACCGTGTTGCATGCCAAATGGTGGTAAAATAAAAACTGCGCTTTTCCCCAAAGACTAAATAACATAAGCAGAGAAGACACTTCATTCTCACCTAAAAAGTTTCCTCGACTTTCCCATGGTACAAATACCTAAGCACATATATATGTATACATACAATAGTTATGCATGCATGTCACTGATTTAATGGCATTGCAACAGTTACCTACCTATAGATGGGTGTGTAGAATTTTCACTTTAACTATTGTAATAAAAATATTATTACGCTACACTGGAAAAATAGCACTAATTTTCCATTCAATGAATCAAATACTGAGCAGCATTTGAGCTAATATTGCGAATTTTTAAGACTCTCGTTAAGTTGTTTTTGCAGGATTTTATACTTGATTAATAATTGAATTGTTATCGCTAAAAAGCTGAAGTTTTAGTTGGAGTTGCGAAATTCAGTGATATTATCTTATACATATATAAGTTAGTCATTCGGGGCTAAGTTTTTGTGAGCCGCTTTTCTCTAAGTGACCTGTGTGACTGATTTATTTGATTGCAACTTAGTATCTTCTTTCGATGTATTTTTTATTTGTTTTATTTGTTTACTACCGTCTCTGTTAGCACAATTTTATGCAACAAAGCGAAATATAAATATTTATTCTTGAGCGTAAAAGAAAATATTGAATAAGAATGTTGCCACATTATGCAATGCAATGCTTGGTCAACATTTGCATATCCATTTAGCGTTTAATAAGAAAGCAAATATTAGCGAACCATACATTGCCGCAGTTGAATGGTAAACAAGCAAAGCAGAGTAAGACAGCTAGTGAGAAGTTACGAATCGAATGGAATATTTTATTTTTATTATTTTATTTTATTTTATTTTATTTTATTTTATTTTATTTTATTTTATTTTATTTTATTTTATTTTATTTTATTTTATTTTATTTTATTTTATTTTTATTTTATAAATTTTTGCATATGTATTTTCACAACTCTTTAAGCAAATCTTTTATGTTCAAAACATGTTTAATAGTCAATTTAATTATTAAGCTGGCTTTAGAGATATTTTTAAGCATATAAAATTACTTGAGACATACACGCTTACATATGTATTAAGATATGTTTATAATATAGACATTTAAACACTTAATTTCGTAAAAATTTCCAATTGTGATTAATTTGTTAAACAAATATGCCAGATATGCAACGCAAAGTGGCAAAGCCAAATCACCACTGCGTATCTTTCATGCCATTTTACGAGTGATTTATTTTCATTTTTTTCTCATTTGAGTAGTAAAACAAATTACTAATCTCTTTGCCATTTGATTGCATTTCTTTTATATTTTGTTTTATTTTTATTAAATTTTTTTTATATATTTTTTTCGATTACAGAAACCATCGGCCACCGCAAAACCCACAAAGTATCACTACTATCCACACAATCAACATATTTACTTGCTGCCCGAGTGTGCGATACAACAGGTCTGTAATGCGGTTTATGTGCGTCTGAATTACACACAACCATTATGCGCCTGTCCATCAAGGTGAGTACCACAACGAAATAAGCTAAATTAGTAGGCACTGCAACTAACTATAAGTACATGCCACATGCCACATGTATATGGAAGTGTGTGTGTGTGCAATTGCAATATCCAAAGCGATGCTTATGCTTCGGAAGACTAAATGGACAACCAAACAGACATTCCAATATACAAACTGACAGTTAAATATATGATATACAGAACGGCACGAAGCGGAGGAAGATGGCTACAGAGAGGCGGATGGGCGCATAGACGTTTGAAACGGTATGGCGCTGCTTGGCTGGCCGTGTAATGGATACATATGTCTGTAAGCTGGCAGCTGGAAGCTTAGCACACAATTGAAACACTGTTGTACTGCCTTACATGCAACATGCCACATGCCACTTGCCACTACCATGTAACATACATATAGCGAAATGCACGCCACAACTGTTGCTGTTGCATGAAAACAGAGTTAAATAATTTTTCAATTGATTATTTCATTTTATAAAGTGAATGAAGTGAATGCTTGATTTTGAGATTTTTTTCGATTTAATGTTATTTTCAACATTTTTTTACTGTTCTTTTTCTCCTTTTATTGCTGCTCACTAGATATCGTGATCCCTGTTCGGCCAGTTTGAATGAGGACGATCAGCATACAACAAAATTGGTGGGCGATAGCAAAAAGAAGGTAAGTGGATGAAAGAGGGCGGCTTTCGGGGGGAAAGAGAGGAACTAAATATATTTGTATGGAGAGTTGGAAAAATGTGCTGACGTTGTACGGAAGTGCTGCAGCAGCAAATTGGAAAAGTACTAAGCTAACAAGAAATGGTTAAATTAGCTGAAGGAGCGCGAGAACACAGTTGGCTACATAGGCGGCTAGGCTTACATATGTACAGAAAACGGTGAGAAATGAAATTAAACGATGAGGCTACAATCAGTTTAAATTTGATTTCTTTTCTTTGTCGAAATTTTTTTCGTTCTCTTCTTATGTAATTATTTTAAATAAGCAGTTAGACGATGGATTAACCTGCGCTTCAGCTGACTTAAGTAGAGGTTAAAAGTAGTCGTATGTTGTGTGTTGGCATCAAAAACATACATACATATAATTGATTGTATGTACTCACGAATGTAGACAAGTCAGCGGATGGGGAAATTTTCAAATGTTATATACTCGTCTAGTCTAGCCTAGTTTGTTTCAATTATGAAGTAGTTTACAGTAGTAGCAGTTCGGAGGTGTGCATTAACTTGAAAAAAAAAAAAATATTGAAATGTAAAAATTTTTGAGGTACTTGATAAATAATTTTTTATTGATAAAGAAGGCAATTTAGGCCAGACAAGTTGAGACCACAAAGAAATGGCATTTTGGTTACAAGTTTTATGTTCGCAGATTGGGAGATAATGGGTGAAGAACAAAATTTAATTATTTCCAATTTTATATTCACCCGAGAGATGGATATATTCAATTAATTTATTTACACCCTCCATGACTACATCTTTGGAGATAAATTTTTTTACTTCTAAACAGTTTTTTTTTCATATTTGGAAGCAGGTAAAAATCCCTCGGACCAGATCTGGACTAAACACGGCTCTTGTAGTGAGGCCCACTTCTCGTGTTTCTCTTTATTGAAACGTATTATTCTTTAGCTATAGAAACACCTTTATCTCTATAATCGATCACTAATATTCCTTCCGAGTCCCAAAAGACCCTCGCAATGAGTTTCCCAGCTGACTGTGACACCTGAAATTTCATCTTCTTCTGTTTATGTCATTGCATAGAGTTTAGTTTCAACTCCGGTTCTTCTTTAGTCGAGCGATTTTTTCATATATTACTTGTCACTCCCGGTAATGTTGCTAGACGGACGATAGCTCAAAGACTAATTGTCTATTAACAATGATATCTCGTATTTATGCTAATTGTGAGTCACTGAACACGTTACGCTCCTAACGTAACCACCACCTACAAACCCACTTATTACGCGAACATAAAAACGATTGTTGAAAAAAAAAATATATTTTTTTGTGTTTACGATATTTTTTTATTACATTTGAAATAGACGCTTACTGTTTCCATGATTCCTTAGCTTAGTAAATAATTTTCGAGATGGTCTGGGTCTATCGCATGCTCTTATTACCAGAGGATAAGAGTCAAGTTAGTTGAGTAACCCGAGTGATTTATTGTACAATCAACATTTTTCGAAAAAAAGATCCCTTAATCCCTTGGTTCTATTATACGGTGTCTAATCATGTAAGGTGACACTTTTTGGCTCTTCTTTTCTTTAGTCATTTTGAAGAAGACAAAACCAAATGTCATGAAAATTTCGACGTTTGCTTTCAGTAAAATTATCTTTTGTGTTTCTATGTCTACTCTCATGCGTCACCTGCCTTCATTCATTGCTGAAACTCTAAAAAGGCTTAGTATAAACTGTAGCTCCGTCCATTTGTTAGAAAAACATCAACTCGCAAAACAACATATTAGAGGAGGAGCTCGGCCGAAAATCGCTGCAGCAGTTACAGAGTGCCTATACTCGTATGGAAGTGGACCAGAGATCGATTAATACCAACAACTCATATTTTTGTATCGATTCACTCGAAACATAATTGATTGGTGACTTATTGTTTAGATTAACATAGGCGATATCTCAGGCATAACTTGACGAATGCTGGTTTTCAAATGCTCAAGATTCAAAGGTTTATCCGCATAAACACGGTCTTTCGCGTAGGCCCACAAAAAAAAAGAGTCCAACGGTGTCAAATCGCACGAGTTCCGAATTGACAGAAAACCACATAACGGAGTCTTCAGCTGCACTTTCACTTACAATAGCGGTATTTGAGCAGGTACGACAAAAAACGATAAAGCGTAGACCTTACAATATCTGTCTCTTCAAAATTCCTTAAATTTTTACCAATTGCTTGAGTAGTTGAACCATAAACAGCGCTTAAAGCACAAAACATGGTCACATTTGAAGCACCTTGTTGGAGTAAATTTTAATTGCCTGACAGCTAAGCTTGACAGATTTCAAAACTAAAGATAAATTAAAAAAAAATATAATAATAAATCACTGTAATTTAATTTAATTGTGTACTAACACATGTCCCATTAAATGCAAGTTAAAAATGTGTAATTTCATCTCAAATTCAATGATGATTTCGAACTTTACTTAAATTCGAAAATTTTCTCTCAACAAAAAATTCTTTTTCCCATATCTTAATATGTATACCGATCTTAGCGCAGATAATCTGGTTAATCTGACAGCTGATTATCATAGACTGGGAAAATGCTGTTTAAATTTCGCATGAAGAAGGGCCACAGTTACAGGTTTTCATGTATGAATGTCGCAACTTAAAGGAGTCGTGACTTAATTGCATGCATTAGCCCGTTGCTTGTCTAGGCAAGTTCAAACAGCAGTTTGCCGTTTGTTCAGTTTTTGAGCATGCAATACATACGTATGTATAGATATACACGTGGCTATGTGTTCTTATATAAGTGGTGACTTCGAAAACCAATTTTCATCATTTTAGCGCCTCAAAACATTTTCGTCCGACTTAAATTACTTTATTAGACATAATTGCGAGTACTTAGGAAAACAATAACTTTAAGTTGCATGTGCAACATATGGTTGCGCAATCTGCAGCCAGCAAAGGCTATGAGATTTTATAATGAGATATTCAACACAAGTGTTCCTAATTCTCCGAGCAGACAATGTAAAAGACTTTTGAAGTAAATTTACACACACAATAATCTATTTTGCGTAGCATTTAGTGCGAATACTATATACGAGTATACAACTGTAAATTGCTTAAGGCGTTTGCTGTTGGGAGATGAGATTGAAATGGGTGAGAGAGAGGTGAAAATATCTGCAAATGCATTAAAAGTGCTAAAACCAAATTAATGTGCATTAAATTGCTTCGCTCTATAATCATTTGATGGATGGATATAAAGCACAGAAGCGCAATCACAGTCTTGCCGACGCAAACAGATGCTAACTCGCTGGAAGGGCACAAAGTAATTGCCCGCTCTTATATAAATTGAACTCGGAAGGGAAATGTCTAAATGCTAATTTCGTGATATCAACATTCATTTTTATCAGTGAAATGGCGATAGTGAGATAAACGCGCTTTGGTCCACAGTTAGCGTGCTTTAGAATGACGAGCTTCCAGAATCTTTGAAACCTTTAGCTGGAGATTTTCAATGGCATTGATTGAATTTTCAATCCAGCATTCACAATCCGATCCCATCAAAAATAAACCTGGTCGTCAGAAACTGCTGTTAGTTTACAAAGCTGTATCGACAGCAGCTCATAAGCTTCTATCGCCAGTCAACACCAATAATTTCATTCATCTTCGAACCCAAATGAGATTCAACCACCGATAACCCCTTGTGGTAATATCTAGGTCATCTCTATCTCTAGAACCGGCTCGATTGCGTTGCGCGTTTTATGAAATTATATATGTACATCTCTTACCATGGAGGGGCTTTAACCATCTTCGAAGGTCTAATTTATTTGTTAAAGAATCTTTTACTTTCATACGAAATACGCTCGGACGGGGTTGACATTTTTGATCGACGAGCCATCTATAATTTTAGTTTGGTTGATTGGAGGAGGGAGGTTTTGAGCAAATTCATTGTACTCCCATATGTGTTCCTACTAGAAGTTTCCGAAAAGTTCGTCCGATTTTATATCAATTTTAATTAGAAGTCTAAGAAAGAGGGATACTGAAGCCGGAGGTGATTTTGACTAGAACTCTCAAGTGAGAATTTAGGTATGAATGGAGGATTTATGTTACAACGATGTTCAATACTATCACAGTCTACTCAGAAGGATGCAAAATGAACTGCTTGCGTAGGTTGGTAGAAAGGGGAGTTTATTCCAATTAGTTTCTTCACCCATCTTTATTAGGTTAGAGTTTGTGGCAACGCAGAAGATTTAACATTTCAATTGGCTGAAGGTGCTGAAAGGTCTGAGACAGTCGCTAATGAAAGCTCATTTGAGAGAGAGAGAGAGAGAGTGAGAGAGAGAGGGGGGCCAATGGCTTTTGGAAAAGCTCGGTGGCGAGCTCCATATGATTAATTAGAGGTGATGCGGGATGGAATTGTACAGGTTAGGGAACTTGGGCCAATTTTATAGGATTTTTAGGAGGCTAGCCGTTAACGCCAAATTCTTTCACCGTTGTGGGTTAAATTGGTGAGTTTTCGTCTTTTTCGCCTAGCTCTTCAGGCTTATAACGAGTCACTTATCATTTGGAACTTGAGATCTCAGGTGCAAGCCCATTTAATCGTTATGATATGATGACATCGGCTAGGAAGGCAATTTTACCTTTAGCTTATATTTGAGATTTGGGGCACTACAAAGGACCAAAGTGAGCCTATGTAAGGCGCATCAGCCGACCGTATAATGTAGCCTAACCAAACATAAGCCAGAGATCTGCAAATTATGGTTGCTGGACATCCAAGCTAAATTCTTTACAAGCATAGAGCTACAGAATGTTAGCCTACCTCAGATCCAATACAATGTAAGCCCGCTCATCAAAGTACCAACACAGCTGACTGATCGGCGCAATTTAATTAGATTTCATAAACTAATTTTTGACAATTTGGAATGCCGTAATAAACATAAATTAATTAGTCGTATGAGTGCACACAATAAAATATATACAAATGGACAATGCATTGTACAAACGCTCTTGTAGACACACAGAATATTGCACTAATTGCATAAATACAACAAACTATATTGTGTTAGTGTGTGTTTGTGCGCATGTGCATGTGCGCGTCTCCACAAAACGCCAGGTGTCCACCGAATGTCGTTGCTGTCATTGCTACCGCCGATGTTGCCTGCTTTGCCTGCTGTTGCTAGCTAACACTTCTATTGATATTGTTGTTGTCACTGTTATTGCTGCCACTGGTGTTGTTGTTGCTATTGTCTTCCATTCTAACAACAGCCAAATCGCATCGCGTGAGACAGGGAAAAGCCTCACTCACGGCTTTGGCGTAAATTAGACGGCAATTTGATCGGAGCTTCAAGTGACTGGAGCCACGACAATACCAAATGCAACAACAGTCACAACAACAATAGAAGTCATATGCATACATAAATACCGACAGGCAAAATAGCAGGCAATAGAAGCGTAAGAAGCAGGAAAAAACGGTTGCCGCAAGAAAACTACATGCAAAAAAAAAAAATACAGCGAAAAGAACAGAAAAAAAAAATAAAAAAAAAAATAAAAATTTTTAAAATTATAAAACAAGAAAATCTAAATCGCTGCAACAACGGCAGCAGCAGCAACGTTTTATAAGGCACATTGCTCGGAGGCAAGCCACATCGCGAGCAGGGCATTCGCGGGCGCTTTGAGTCTGTAAGAGACCAAGCCACCAGTTGCTGCTGTAAAGAGCCTGAAGGCAACGTGTCGTCTGTGGTTGCTACAGTTCCAGCATTGCTCTTTTCTGCTTCTTCTATTTATTTCTTTTCGTTTTTTTTTTTTTCTTCTTCTTTTTTGCCCTGTTGCACTTTAGTAATTGCTGCTGTTTTCGCTACTACATATCGCTGTTGGTGTTGTTGCTGCCACTGCTACTGCCTTGGTTAGTCGTTGCATGTGCAGATATTTTCTGTTTTCTTGTCTTTTTTCTACTGTTTTTTTCTATTCCTTTTTGTTTTTGTACTTTGCCTTTTAACGTGCATTTAGTTCTGGCGTTTGCTGTTGGATTGCTGGCAATTTCTATGCGGCCGCACAGCGGCAGCATGTGTGGAAAAATCGTGATTAGCGGTTTTATTTGTCATTAAATGAGGTTTTAATGCTGCGTTGCGGCAGTAAGGCAAGCGTGTTTTGTTGTTTTTTTTTTCTCCGTTCTCTCAATGCCGAGATAGTATAGTAAAAAATCTCACTGGCGGCGCAAGAATATTTCAGTGGTGGGACGTGAGCGAAAATGTTTGAGTGATTTTTTGACTTCATTAGATGTGGCAAATGAGTTACGCCAGAAAAACAGAGTACTTTCAACCGTTTCGACCAAGGCATGCCTTAAGCAAATACCAAAGAATATTACAGGGACCCTTTGAAGATATCGGAAGGCATCTCAATCTTTAAGTCCGAATCTTCGCCGTTTGACGATAACTAGAAATATATAATAAATAGCATCTAGGTACTTCTCGACCCGATCCTCTTTCTTCCTATGCTTCCTCCAAAGGATACTCTCAAAACTGGAGTGTTCTCATCCATTCATCATTGGTCAACTCGGACGTGGTTTGAGACCCGATTTCATCCCCAGTGGCAAGAAATACTGCATCTCCGAACTAACAACGAGTGATTCTTTCTCGCACCCTTTACGAGAGAGCTAGAGAAGTAAAAGTTATTGGGGAAAGGAATACTCAAATTCGTCTTCACTAAGGATCAAACTTTATTGAAAAAGTCTACGAGAGTCTTCTATCAAAGAACTGTCGGGTGGAGTTCAGCCTTCTACGCCATTGCAGCGTTATTCAGATGAAGTTTGTTGCTATTTAGGAAGCGGTGAACATCCGTTTCGAAGGTTGGTTTCTTGGAGACAGGCCGCTATTTACACAGACAGCTAACTTGTGTTTTTCTCATGGTCAGCTCTAAAATTGTGAAAGAATACTTAAAATCATCGAAAGTGTCGTCGACTTATTTTAAAATAATAATAGTTTGGGTAACGGATCGCAGCGAAATTACTGGGAATTGTAACATTGATGAGCAACTTCTGGGCAAATCACCTTATCTGCTAATAAGAGGGCTACTTCGGCGCGTGCACAGTAGCGACATCCTTCAGTGCCAGAGTGAACCCCGAAAGGTCAAGATAGAAGCTTTCATGTACGGGAAGTTGTGGACGTCCAATTGTTATTTACCCAGTAAGCTTGGGATTTCGTTGAAGTTTGTCTGGGGGTGGTGAAGGAATTATCTGAGCAGTTTTTCTGAAATTTTCTTTTGTTTGCGAGGCTAAAGCTAATTAGGTGTGTGAGCTTTGACTATAATATGATTAGCTGATCTTCCGATTATGATGAGACTGGATAAACTGTTAGTATGCTGATCTGAGGGAAGAGTCTATCTATGGATCTGGAAAAGCAGACCACATTTGATGCGTCTAGCGAATCTTTCTTCTGAAGTCGGACGAGGTTACTGTCACTATCTTTGCAGATTTTTCCTATGTATCATATGTATCTTTCCCCTTCAAGCACACACAGCACATTTTTCCAGAAAATTTTAATTGAGAATTTCATTAACGATGTACCAAATGCGTTTTCCTTGCGTGCACATCAATCTAAAAAAGTATCTCTCTTCCCCTCCACCTTTCAAGCAGGCCATAACTTTGGCAAAGACATGCGAGGCCACAACGGAAATGCGTGAATGCAGCTCACCCAAGGATTGGTCGCTGTTGGCGCTGCAGAACATACGAACGGGCAAATCACATTATCTAATCATTTGCAGGTGTCCGGATCATTTCAAAATGGGTAAGAGCGAAATGCAAAAAAAAAAAAACCAAAAAAAAATAATAATAGAAAATATATAAATATTATTTACAATTTTGCAATTTTGCAATTTGTTTAACCATTAAATGTGAAAAGCCTACAAAATTGCTAAATAATTGCAATGCATCGTGCACAAATCAAACTAATACACTTTTTCATTATTATCATTTCCACTGCCCGCCTGCCTCTACAAACAATAGAGGGTCCCATGGCACACGATCAACCCAAGTACGCCAGCGTGCCCGGCATACGCGTCTTCGGCATGATGTGCGTCAAACCAGGCTACTCGGTGCGCAAACCATCCGCACAGCCACCCAAGCGCTACCAACTACAAAAGCCATTCTACCGCCCGGGCACGCAAAGCAGCAGTGCTTACATAAATGTGCCGCAATATGGTGGTGGTGGCGCTAAAGACACCTACGGACGCCCCAGCTCGGCAACATCATCTTACGGTGGCCCATCGTCGGCGGCCAGTAACAGCAATTATCATGCGGAAAACAGCTTCGGCAGCCAAGGTGGCGGCTATCAGTATTTGAATCGACCAGACAGTGGCAGCAACAGCAACTTAAATCCTCATCAATCGTCAATTAATGTTAACAACTATCGACCGGATACACTGACTTCGATTAATAACTTCCCATCGGGCATTTACGGACGTAATAATGAACGTAAAGGTGAAACACCAATTGAGGCGGCCAAGGATGAGGATAAATTATTGGTGAACACAAGCACACAACAATCAGCTGAAACTGCTGCTGCCCGTGGTGGGGACGGTGGTGGGATTGAGGAGACAACGTCGAACATTGAGCTAGCGTCTGCTGGCGCGCAGCAACAACAAAGCGATGAGTTGGCACAATTGCGTTCGAAGCGTTCGATCAATGATATAGCGGCAAACGATTGGACCGATGAAACACCTGAGTTCCCGTGGGATCGTGTTTTGGAGTTTCAACAGACGATCGTTTGGGATTGAGTGTGAGTGGAATGAATATATACCATAAATCGCAAAATAAGGAGGATGTGGCGTATGAGTAACTTTTTTTAAGGCGGGAAGTGTAACAAAAAATATGAAAAATAAAAAAAAAATATAAAAAATATATTATTATTATTAAGAGCCAACATTTATAGGAGGCGTTCCAGTTTTGTTCAACAAAGCTACAAAGTTAAAGAGGCGATTTATATAGAAAATTTTCTTAATCAAAACGATTACTGTGACTGAATAATAATGAAATAATATTTAAATAAAATTTAAATTTAAATATAAAATATTAGTAATTAAAAAATTTTAGTTAGCACCAGCAGCGTGAAATTATCTCCAAAATGTTAACATACCGACTTGAAAACAATACAAATTGCCAAGAAATCAATTTTTCTTTCGACTATATAAATGTTTGTTAGTAATATCTTGAAAAAGGAACTTTTCAGTGACAAAAACTATTAAATAACAGTAGAACCTACTGAAAATATTTTTTTTTAATCAGCCACTTACATTTAAAACTATTATCTTAGCAATTAAGTTCTACAATTCATAAATTATGTTTTAATGTTTGTCACTAAAATTTATTTAAATAACATTTTAATTAATAAAAGAGGTAATAATACATATATACTATACATATACAATAAACATAATACATAATATACTGAATTATTATACATAACAAATTAATTGAAGCATTTCGCCTTAATCATTGAAGTGCTTTGATTAATTTGTTTTAGTTGGGGCGCGCGACGCAAAATATTTTATTTAATTTAATTAAAACACACTACTCACATATACGAACAACCATTATTAGTTAATTTACGATTTAGTACGCGAAAAATGCAAGCAACTGCAACATACACACCGAATGTATGCAGTTAAAACATTTAAAATTAAAAATATAAAAAATAGTATTTATAATATAAAAATATATTATTTATTTCATATCTTACATTTAAGCTGCATTTATTAGTAAATAATTTTAGACATGTGTAAAATGCAATAAATTGCATTTTGTACGATTCGCCTGTAATTTGTAATAAATTATTTTTTACTAAAAATAAATCAAACGATATTTTATGACTGTCAGAATAGAAACAGGTAAGGAAATTTAATTTAATTGAACGTTAAATATAGAAAAATTTTATTTAAGCATTATAGTTTTTTATTTTAATTCCAAATTTAATAAAAAAAAAACAAGATTTTGTGATTTTGAGGACACTGACAGCATAAAGAAAGAATCATCTTAACCTTTTCCATATTCCTTTATAAACAAATTTCTATAGAAGTCTAACCCTACTTTTTAGTACATAATTTAATCTAAAACTTTTAAAAGTTCAAGTAGTGTGACTTACCTAAAACTTCTGCATTCACCACAATATTACAGCTGTACATAGGGCTGACTAAACGTTGTGGTTGTGCTTGGAATGCCATGCGACATGATTCTTTCGATGCTGTCAGCACTTGCCCTGCATAAGAAATGTTAATAAACATTTACCAAAAAAAAAAAAAACTACTTTTTAATCGACTTACCAGAAAAAGGTCCATAAGACTTGGAATTGAGGTCTTCCCCCAGCGCCACGGACCACTCGAGCACAACAAATGCCACGCCTTGCATTGGCTCTTCACAAAGTGGTCCAGCACCAGTTACTAATTGGAAACCGTTAACAAATGAACTGTTATAATCGCGACGAACATCGCTCGTCGCTTTAGTAGCATTTTCATTATCGCATTGCTGCATTAGAGATTGCCAAATATTAGGTTGTTCGTAGTCAGACAAATTTAACAAGATATTTGTGCCACAATTACGAGGACCAAGTGCCCAAATTCGTTCAACGAGCTCTGTTGCTGTTAACGTTGATAAACCTTTAAGTTCAAACTCAGTCAAGGTTTTAGAAAGCTGCGTTTTTATTTGCGTTATAAGCGTGGCGTATTTTTCAGATACACCAACACCTTTCGTGTTCGCAGCCAACTCTTTAAAGAGGCTTAAATGCTTTTCCAGTAAATCAACAGCGGCTTGTGGCAGCGGCAGCGCTACTATGCGGAGTGTGCTCATCTTATTGGCGGTTTGGAGCGTAATAATCTTCTTGCTTATATCCTTGTCTGTGGCAGTTTTTACTATAGCTTCATTGACCATATCCACTGTGGCTTCGGGCACTATTGTCTCGCGGAATGAAACTATTGGCTCGGATACGTTGACTTTGATTTTCCCATAATTTTCCTCCAAATCGCGTACACATTTCTCTACATGCACTTCCCCGAGTGTGGTGATGACGTGTTCACCTGTTGGCGCCACGGAAACTTGTACGCATGCGTCAGCCTGAAATTTTGAAATGAAATAAATTTTAAATAATGCGCCTGTCACTTACAATTAAAGCAACGTTATACCTGATTCAACAATTTAAGCCCTTTCACCAGTTTAGGTAGATCTTGTGGATTCACAGGTTCGATAGCTACGCGCAGAATAGGAGTGGCCATTACATTCAATTCGCTAAATGAAGTACAGTTGATGGTACTACTCAATGTTGCAGTTTTAACAATATCTTGATCTAAGCCGCCAATGCCGACAATATTACCAGCCGGTACCTCATCGAGCGCTTGCAATTCGCCACCCATAAACATATACAAATCACTTATCGTCACTTCGCTTACATAGGGCGAGTCCAGGCTAAGGTGACTAAAAATATAAAAGTTGTGAATTTAATTATTATCTTAGAGATTTAGCTACTTACTCCTTATTTCTTGGATCATGTTTAGGCGTTAGATTGTATAAACGCATGCCCGGTTTTAGCGTGCCACTGAATATACGTGCGAAAGCAACAAAAACATAATCAGATTTTTCGACTTCTTCTGGTTTCGACTCTGTTTGGTTTTCCAATTGGTCTGAAGCTACAACTGAAACTTCCGCTACATTCAGCTCTTCCACGCCTTCAGTTAGATTTTCCATCTCAGTCTTCTCAGCTGCTTGCCTGCGCTCTTCAATACGCCGACGCACCTCTTCACGTTTGGCGCGTAGCTCATCTTCAGTTAAACGTTTTTGTTTATTTTGTGGCAGTTGTGAGACGTGCACAGGTAACATCTTGGAGACATATACAATGACATTCGTACTATCGCTATTGCAGTTTTTAAAGTCATCCTTAAGTACTAATGTTTCTTTCGAATAACTACTCAGCTCTACGTTTTGCGGAAACAGAAGTCTTTCTGCGCGTTCATCGGAGATAACATTTGGTGCTGGCACATGACGCACCACCATCTCTAAGACAGTACGATCTATGGGCAGCCATTGCCCAAGCACAGTTTTTATTTGCGCTTTGGGATCGGCGACACGCAAATCACGCGCTTGCAGTTTTATGCCGAGCTTCTCAGCGATTATCGGCAATTTTTCTTTATCTTTACGTACAGCAATTATATCATAGAGACTCCAGATATTTTCTAATACAAATTGTACAAACATCGGTTTCTTAGCCTTTTCTTGCGCACCCAGAATGGCGCATTTTTTCTTCGCATTGTAAAAGTAGTCTCCCCATAAAACTTGCTCTAATTCGGTTTGCGACATTTCCAATCGCTCAGCATACGTTTTGGCGAAGTCACTCACAGAGAAAGCCCAACCGTCATAAGCGGAACAGAAAATTACATTACCAGCTTCAGGAGAGAAGTATAAATTTGAATCGTCAACATCCTCTAATGCGGACTCATAGTTATCCTGAGTAGGAAATTTATGTTTATATACATACAACTTTATCTGACTGATCTTTTGTAATAAGAATACCTTCTTTGTTATGTCCTCCTTTGCTAGCACATCGGAAGCGAAGATGCTTCCAAGCACTGCATTTACTTGTTCTAAAATTTGCCATATGTGGAAATAAGCATCTAAAGGTGTTAACTTCATTTCCATTATGAGACGATCGATTTTGTTTAGGACTAATACTGGTTTTAGCTGCTCCTTATAAACTTGCTCCAAGCATGCGCGCGTTTGTGGACACACACCTTCGACTACATCAACCTATTTCAAAAAATTATTAAATTCTGTAGCGAATAATAAATTTACGATACGTACCACCACGATAGCGCCATCGCACAAGCGCACTGCCGTCGAGACTTCACTGGAAAAGTCGACATGTCCCGGTGAATCAATTAGATTAACGAGATACTCCTTCCCACTTTTTTCCCCCTCCATACCCCCACAGTAATATAGCGATATACTGCTACTCTTCATGGTTATGCCGCGCTCCTGTTCATCTTGACGTGTATCTAGGTAACGTAATTTACCGGCCATCCGTTGAGATATAATGCCATTGCTAGCAACAAGTGAGTCAGCAAGTGTGGTCTTCCCGTGGTCCACATGAGCCAAAATACAGATATTACGCACACGTTCAATGTCTTTTTGGAGTTTCACCAGGATATTTGTATCGGCTATTGGCATTTTAATACAAAACTATTTCGTTAAATAAATATAGATTCAATACTTTCTACTCTTGCACGAGAAACACAAATGAAGGTGTATTAAGCGAAGTGATAATGAAGGAATGCACGTGTTTTGTTTACTTTCAAGTATTTCGTAAATAAGCGCAACACGACAACAACAAATAAGAATGTGAAATTCGAGTCCAATCAGATGGTTTTTGTTTACATCCTATTTGTGAAATTCTGCTCGCACTCATTCACAGTGGCGGTTCGTGGAATGTTTAGATATTTTTGGGCACCCTGACAATTCACTTAACAGCTGATCGGCTGTCAAAATTTGCTGACGTTTATTTTGCACGTTGCTACATTGCAATCATTTTTTCTTTAACGAAATTCTACTGATTGAAATTGTGTGCCGTTTGACTCATTGTCCTAAATTAGCGATAGTATTGCGGAATTCCGAAAATCAATAAAATGGTTGAATTAACTCCAGAAGAAAAAAAACTGTTAATCACCCGCAATCTGCAGGAGACGCTTGGTGAAGACAAATTGAATGCAATACTCAAGGAACGTGATCTGAAAATTTACTGGGGCACTGCAACCACTGGCAAGCCACATGTAGCCTATTTTGTGCCTATGTCGAAAATAGCCGACTTTCTTAAAGCAGGCTGTGAGGTAAGACATTTTCTTAGAAAACATTTAAGGCCACTCCTTAACGCGCCTTCTTATAGGTAACCATACTATTTGCCGATTTGCACGCCTATCTTGATAATATGAAAGCACCTTGGGCACTACTCGAGTTGCGCACACAGTATTATGAAGCTGTTATAAAGGCTATGTTGAGCTCAATTGGTGTTCCACTGGATAAGTTGAAGTTCGTTAAGGGTACAGACTATCAGCTATCGAGGGAGTATACTCTGGATGTATATAAACTAAGCTCAGTAGTGACGCAGCATGATGCAAGAAAAGCCGGCGCTGAAGTGGTTAAACAAGTTGAGTACCCATTGTTATCTGGCTTGCTCTACCCCGGTCTGCAAGCTTTGGATGAGGAGTACCTTAAGGTGGATGCGCAGTTCGGTGGCGTTGATCAGAGAAAAATATTCACATTTTCTGAAAAATACTTGCCTCAATTGGGTTACGAGAAACGTATACATTTCATGAATCCCATGGGTATTTGTTTTTCTTTTTAGCTTTTTTATTGAATCATTTACGAATTATATTTATATTCTGCAGTACCTGGCTTAGCAGGCGGTAAAATGTCTTCATCTGAAGAAGACTCTAAAATTGATCTCTTGGATTCGCCCGCAAATGTGAAAAAGAAGTTGAAGAAAGCCTTTTGTGAGCCGGGAAATATTGCAGATAACGGACTGTTGTCTTTTGTTAAGCATGTTTTGTTCTCACTCTTCAAGGAAGGTGAAGGTGTGTATTCAAAAATTCATTACTTTTTTCACTAACAGTATTTATTTATTTTCACCAATAATTCAGGCTTTTCTGTCACACGTCCTGCGGAATATGGTGGTGATATTACATTCCTTAATTTTGCCGATTTGGAAAAAAGCTTTGCTGACAACGACTTACATCCTGGCGATTTGAAAGCATCAGTCGAAAAGTATATTAACAAACTTTTGGAACCGATTAGAAAGGCTTTTGAAAGCCCCGAGTTGCAGTAAGTCCTTATTTTCCCGAAAATAAAGCAAAGTATAATTTAAATTTATTATGCTATACAGAAAGCTTAGTGCAGCTGCCTACCCACCACCTGGTAAGGGGAAAGGTGGTAATGTAAATAGCACAGCAGCAGCGGCAGTCGAAGAGGATGGTCCTCACCGATTAGATATTCGTGTTGGCAAAGTTGTCGAAGTCTCTCGTCATCCAGATGCAGATACCTTGTATGTATTGAAAACCGATTTAGGTGAAGTTCAACCACGTACCATCATAAGTGGTTTGGTGAAATTTGTAACGACTGAGGAGTTGGATCAAAGACTAGTGGCCGTACTATGCAATCTTAAACCATCTAAAATGCGTGGTATACTATCTGAGGGCATGGTGCTCTGCACCTCGAAGTAAGTACAAATAATGTCAGTACATGCAAAGGGAGTAGGTACTAATTAGTTTTAAAAAACCTTTCAGCTCTGATCACACAGTTGTTGAACCAATTATTGTACCAGCTAACGCTGCTCCAGGTAGTCGTTTGGCTTTTGAAGGTTTTAGTGGTACACCTGATGAACAATTGAACCCCAAAAAGAAGGTTCTTAAATCTTACTTCTGTTTGTTGAATATAATTCGAATTGCTGTTCTATTTTAAGGTATGGGAAAAGCTTTCCGTGGATCTGAAAACAAATGCTGATGGTACTGCTGTGTGGAAGGATAACTTCTTACTTACTCCCGAAGGCGAGAAGCTAACCAGCAAATTGGCGAATTGTCAAATTAAGTAAACTGAACAATTAGTATAGAATTAAAAAAGCTTTTACGTGTTGTAGGTAAAAAGTTTGTAAATCTTTGTTACTTGGCGCGGTTGAATATTTATTTGCAATTTTACTTTTTATATATGGCATAGTAAATAAATTCTTTTCGCACCAATAAATTTGGAAAGTACTTCATTTTTTTAGTAATATAGTACCAAAATGGGCGGAGAACACCACATAATACAATTGGTGTTGATGCTTTTCGTACTTTGGGATTGTGATGAACTTATATTGTAGGAAAGCAAATTAATTAGATAAATTTAAATACAAACCTGATCACAAATTTCATTAAAAGCATCGATTAAATTGACACCTCAACTGTTTTAGTATTCATATATGTAACACAAATTAAATATTAAACCACCACTCTTGAAGATTCGTTTTCTTTCAATAAACCCGCCAAAATCAAAGATAACGCATACGTCATTGAGCAACCGTTGTGAGCAACTAAAATAAATAGTCACAATAGAAATGTCTCGCTTTTTATTTCCGCAACTGAGTTTAATTAAATACCTTTAATTAATTATCTGATAAAATACTACCCTCCAATCCATTTATGTTATTTTTTAATAAACAAATATGAAATTTTCATTCCTATCATTTGAAAAAAATCTTTCCGTAAAGTCTGCTCATTGTGAACTTGCTAATAAGGTTATCAATCAATCAGCTGTGTTCGTGAAATTTTCTTAAGCTTTTGCTCGTTTCCAGCCGGCAACAATAAAGGATTCGTTATATCCTACCTTTTGAATAAAACCTTTGTTACTAATGTATTCCACGCATAGATTAGTGTCTTTGTTCACCCAGTACAGTATACGAGCCACAAAGCGCTGCGCTCATGACGAAGTGCGCGTACGTTTTGCACCCAGTCCAACAGGTCAGTTGAAATGAAAACAATTACAAATATGTATTATACCAATAATAAGCTAAACTATTCCCAAGGTCATCTGCATTTAGGTGGATTGCGTACAGCCTTGTACAATTATTTATATTCGCGAAATAAAAATGGTAAATTTCTATTACGCATAGAGGACACAGATCAAACGAGACTTGTACCTGGCGCCGCCGAAAGCTTAGTCGAAGACTTGCAATGGGCAGGCATAAATATTGATGAAGGGCCGGGATTTGGTGGAGAACATGGTCCATATGTACAAAGCGAGCGTATGAAAATATATCAGTGAGTATGAGGAATTTATTTTCAAATATCAAAATTAAGCTTTCTTTCAATTAGAAACGCGGTAAAAGAATTGCTGGTGAATGATACTGCTTATCGCTGTTTTTGCACAGAACGCCGTTTGGAGCTGTTACGTAAAGAGGCATTACGTACGCGGCAAGTGCCCCGCTATGACAATAAGTGTCGTTACCTGACACCGCAACAAGTAGCTGTTCTGTTAGCCAAAAATACACCATATTGCATACGATTTAAACTGACGTCACATAATGAACCGCTGGATGATTTAATTTACGGTTCAGTAACGCATAATGTCAGCGAGAATGAGGGCGACCCAGTTATCATGAAAACCGACAACTTTCCCACATATCATTTTGCGAATGTAGTGGATGATCATATGATGGGTATAACACATGTGTTTCGAGGCGTGGAATGGCAAATATCGACAACAAAACATTTGCTGCTCTATAAGTGAGTCCACATACAAATTTCTTTTATTTAAAGCATTTTACTATTGTTAAGTATTTGTTTCTTGCAGAGCCTTCGGCTGGCAACCACCGCTCTATGGCCACTTACCCCTTTTAGTTAATTCCGATGGCACAAAATTAAGTAAGCGTCAAGGTGATATTGGCATCAAAAATTTCCGTGAAAAAGGTTATTTCTCGGTGGCGCTTGTGAATTATGTTATCAGCGCAGGAGGCGGATTTGATCATAGCCCTGGTCAAAAACAGCAAATATATTCAATGGCGGAATTGGCGCATAATTTCACTATCGAACGTGTAAATTCACATCCCAGTCGTTTAAATCCTGATTTGTTAAACGATTTCAACCGTTTACATATACATAAAGTGCTACAAAATAAAACAAATACCGAAGATTTGGTGCGCCATGTACAAGGGCTGGTGCGGAGTGCATATCCTAATGAGTGAGTTTTGTGTTAATCAAAATTTTTGAATTTTCATTTTTAACCTCGGTCACAGGCAAAACCTCGATTTAGATGATCAGCATATAGAAAATGTTTTAAAATGGGCAGCAAAACGCTTAACTTTTTTGCAGGACTTAACTACTTCAAAGTTAAGTTTCCTCTGGGTACGACCTGCTGAGTTCAAACTGAAACATATGACAAAGGGTAAGAAGTTTTAGCTTTAATGTCAATTTATAAAACTAATTTTGTATTATATTGACTGCTATTTAGATCAAATGCACTCGTTGATAGATAATTTAGTTTGCATAGAATTCACCAAAGATAATCTCAATGACAAATTAAAAGAATTTGCTGATGTAAATCAACTTAGATTCGCTGATTTTATGAAAACACTGCGTGCGGCTTTAAGCGGTTTAAAGGTAATAAGTTAGTTTTTACTTTTAAAAATTCTGTCGAATATATAAATGGATTTTCTAGGAGGGTCCTGGCGTCGCTGAAATGATGGACATTCTTGGCAAAGATTGTGTTTTACAACGTCTCAAAAGTTGCATACCAATACATAGTGCGGATGAGGCGAAAAAAGCTGCGAAAGAAATATAACCTTTTGGCTTGTAAGTTTTCCTGTTTTGTAAATAAAAGTTAACTACTATTAAAGAGCAAACATCGTTTATTTTATTTACCTTCATCGAAATTTCAATTTATTAGCGTTTACGCTTTGTGACGAATACTTTTGTTCAAATTGGTATGTATGTATATAAGTATAGTTATGGTAAATAATTTTGTAAATATGTAGTTACATTTTTAGGGTTTTCGGCCATTCAATTGCAATACAGACATATATATGCATGAATGACCATTATATCGCTAATTAAGTTTTTAAAAGGAGAATCATTGCATGCATCACATTAATAAATATATGTAAGTATTATTATTTTTATATACCATAGTTTTTAGACCTGTGATTTTTTCACGGTTAAATTTTTTACTCCGCCTGCTTGATTTTATTTCCTTTGGAAAGTCTTCATTTAATTTAACTAAAATCTCGATTAGTTAGTATTATAGGTGCAACTAAGCTCCAACCATAGATGAAGACACCAAGCCAACTGGATATTATTTTAATCCACATGGAAGCGGCATTGGCATTGAATAACTCAATATCAGAATTCGGTCTAGTTAAGAGAGAAGAAAATTAATATAATTTTCATTCTAATGATTTCCAAATGCATTTTACTCACTTGTACCAATTGGTGAGCGTCATCATTACATAGAGCGAAGCACAGACAAAGACAATATGAAACATGGACCAGGAGTAAGTGACGCCATCACTTTCGTTATCGGTTGCGCCATCACCATCACCTTTTCCGGCTTCTGAATCTGAGAGAGCTTCTGTTAAAACTGTGTTAGTGCATTTTTACAATAATTTACAATATTACGATATTTATATTTTATTTATATTGTACAAGAATATGAAATTTTCAAATGAATCAAAAGAACCAAATCCATAGTACCGATGTTTGCACCGTTACATATCGCACGATTGTGTGTTAGTTCATTGCAGATACACATTACGTTAAAGGTGACCGAGAGTTGAAAATCAAAATGAAATAAAATGAAAAAGAATAGTGTTAGCAATTTACAATAAGAAATCTTGAAATGAAGAATTTTACATTGTGATTAACTGAGGTGCCTTTTGTGATGGAGGTAATGTGTGTAGGCGAAACAAGTGAAAACTCAAAGGTGCTCACTCAAGAGATAGTTAATTTTATCAATAGGAAAATGTTCTTAAAAAGAATAGTGAAGATTTGATGCATTGTAATGTAAAGTTATGGGGCAATTAAAAAATTCTGATAAGCAGTTGAGGCAAATTTTATACACAGAGCCAACCCACCACGTTTTTCACCATCGTTATTGATTTTGGAAACCTCCACAGCCGAGCTGATACAATTGTATAGTATGCAGAATAACCAAACGACCAATCCAATGATGTTTGTCGTATCGAAAGTTACTTTAGAATGGTTTGTTGGTGGCGCAATGGTTGTATTACCAGCTGTAACGCCGTTTATTACGCCATACATGCCAGGATTACATTCTTTTTCTGAAAATGTTAACCATTTGATTACTTTGATATATAATTTTATTAGTTTTATCATTATTTCTTTATTAACCTGGATTATTAGCAACAGCAGACCAAGTTAGGTATATAGTGTAGATTGTAACCAGCGAGCTCTGTAACAGACCTGAGTGTGGCAAACGATCCTGCACTGCAGGCATAACCGATAAAATGCTCACAATCAAGCAGAGTATTAGATTGAAAGAGATAAAGAATTTGTTGAGACCACAGCCGTCGGACTATAGAAAAAATAAAGATTTTAAAATAGCGGAAGAAATAGAATTTTGGAAAAGATTAAGATAAATATAAAAACTTAACCATCGAAATTTTTGTGCAGGCACAAAAAAAAAAAAACTTACGTGTGTGAAGTAGATATACAGCAGGGAAATGCCTACTAGGGACAAGGCATAACTGGTGAGTGTGACGCCAACCAAAGCATAAAAATAGCCCCTATTATTTTCAGCATTTTCTGCAAAAATATCATTTGATTCGATTACAAAAATACAAAAACAACACAACACACTAACCAATCCAGTTTTCAGCTATCGAATGAGCAAAATCGACAATGATTACCAATTGCACCAATATAAATGCCAGTCCACCAATTAAGCCCACCCACATCATAGTCGGTCCGAATGAGCCATCTGGTATGAAAATTGCACCAATTGCAGCACCAAAGCAAATTAAAAATTTCAATCCCCAAAATTCATTCTGTATGTGCGAACGCGGATCACGTGAACTCTTAACACCCATCATAATAAGAGCCATTAGCATGAAGAAACAGGCGAGACCAAAACATATACGATAAACAGCCATGTAGCCGAGTGCATATTCACAGTCCACTTGTAAATTTCCGCTAAGAGATAATGCCTTAGAGCTCACTGTGGAAGTCGAATTTATACAGAATGGTAACTTTTTAAGCGTATCCTGCAGTCCGGGTGAAAGTGCTATAGCGCTTAGGACAGTGCCCACCAATAGCATAAAAGCATACATGAAACGTGATGAAGTAGAGTTCTTGCAGGAAGGGCATGCACTGCAGCAGCAACTGGCAGCTGTTCCGGTACAGCAAAGTGCACACTAAAATCAAAAAAGACAAGAAATAGTTCATTTGGGAAAAACACATAAGGAATTCCTAAATAAATTCAACGATATTTTATAAGCAAAACGGGGGGAAAAAGGATACGCAAATTTGATTTTAACTTAATTTGTGATTGCGAAATATTGATTTTTCATTATTTACATCGTCAAAGTAAAAACGCAATTTCTTCAATACGTAGCATAATGACTTTTTAAATTTAAAGCATTTACCTGTGCGGCAGAGCATAAACCTAAAACTGCTCCCATTTTCGCTAGCGCGTTCTTCTTTTAAGAAAAAAACTTTGACGATTTTCAATGGATTTGCTCTTAATTAAAATTTTTACAGGTAGATATTTTTTCGACTTCACTTATTTACAAAATGATTTTTCTTTGTTACAAAAATGTCAACAAACCAATAAAACACAGAGTTGCTCGCTCAGCCACAATAACAGAAGCCGATTAAACACAGCCAATAAAAAATCCTGTCAGCCGATATTTTGAAATCTAACCGGAAAATTGCAATACAAAATGCCTTAACTATGATTAAAAATTAATTTCATCTAAAATCATTGATTAAAATAAGAAATAAGTTCCAAGGAAGGAGGATATACGGATTTGTAACCAAGAAACTAATCCTGTGATTGTATAAACTTAATAATATTAGATCATTTTTGCCCCATGGGGCAAAATATGCAACACTAATTGGCTTAGTGCTATGAAATGAAATTCAGTAACCCTACTGCAAACAGCTGGTTTCTTGTACAGAATATTTTTAAACAATTATACTTACGAGATAGTTTTCCCATTAAACGATTTTAAATAGTTATACTAGCCGAAAAAGTTTTCTAATAAAAAGAGATTGCGTGGCAGGAGGGGCCATATAGAAAGCAAAGTAGATATCTGGAGAGAATCGCAGTAAACCACAATATGTTTAATGGTTAATATTTGTATAAATAATATCTTATGTTTTTATATATTTTCGAAAAGTCAACATAAAATTCGTGTGTTTTAGATTTATATATATGCATATACAGAGAATTATATGAATTCAGTGCGTAATTATCTGACTCTTAATTACAACAAAAAAATCATAATACTTACATATGTTGGAATAATGTGATTACATAGTGTATGTCATACATTATTGATTTCTTTGTTAATACATTGCAATAAACCGGTAGCGACGGTGAAATTCAATCAATTCTACAATCCATGTAATTTGCTTACATACATATATACTCATTTAAGTATGACTGTTTTATGGGTTTTAGAAAAGCTGTCTGTAACCCCTGTTTCTCAACTGGCTCATATTCATATAGTGGTAGAGAATTGAGAAAAATTACAGCAATAAATATTACGCGACGAATTCTAATACAAATTTATTTTCAGCTATCACCATATGTGATTTGATTATAATTCAATTTTGAATTATATCAACATATATTGCTTATTTTAGCAATATGTATATTTATGGCCCAGTCCATTGCCAATTCAGGGAGCTTTCCTCACAGGGAAGTTGACACGTAATTGAGAAGCTCATTATTTCAACAATATACATTTTCGAAAACTCAAATCTAAGTTGAGATAAATAAGTAAATAAAATTCTATTACATAGAATAGTGGGTATATTTTTCATTAAAGCTGGAGCGATTCGACAAAAATTTAGTGATTTATAAAAATTTGAACTTTTGCACTTAAATGTATTATTATCATCTCTGACTAATCTCTGACCACTCAAGCTGTATGAGCTTACTTACGTACACTATGAATACATACGTATGTATGCATTATATGCGTTGATTAATATAATTATATCATAATTAATTCATTCCGCTCCAAAAGTAAATGACAAATCTATAATATATTTTTATCGCAGTAAATATTGCTTTGTTAATTATTATTTTATTACATAAATATGAATAAACGCCAATGGCAAAATTTACCGCTTATTTTTATTCTTCTTTCTTAATATACATAGTTCTCCAAAGACTATTAGGGGGCGACACGCCACCAAGCAAGGTATTAGAAATTAAAGGAGAATCGCTGGGAAGTCTATTGGTTATAGGGCGAGATGAGGGTATGGTCCTCTATTCGCCGCCCTTCAATTCCACAGATAAAAAAGCATGCTACGAGATCATACTTCAACGTCATGTCAATGATCCTGCCAATACGTGTTTCAGTTTGTTTCGCTCACCCTCACAGCAGGATGCCGAAGACCGATTTAATGCTTTCGTACATCGTTTGCCCGTATTTGTAACTATCGTTAAAGAGGTAATATTTCAATAGCTATTGCAAATGCACAATAATATAATATATATATATAAGCATAACTTTAAACATTTCGTATACAGTTTTTTAATGTTAACGGTCTACAAAGAGTATGTGATGCCTTAGCAGAAAATCCTTCCTGGTCACTTGCGCACTTGGTAGCCTTTTTTAATCTTGTTGATTATGTCAGTAATCCAAAAGTACTGGAATTCATCGATTACGCTGATCATGTACACCTTATGTCCCCCTTTCAGGTAATATGTCTGTGCGTAATAGATGTATGTGTATATTAAAATTAAACTTTTTACCGGTGTTAGCTTGCCATCAAAACTGGGAACATGGAAATGGTTAAGACATTATTGCCCCTCTGTAAAATGGAACACTTAGATAACAATAGTAATTCTGTATATCATTACGCCGCCAGTACAACAAAAGAAATAATAAATGTAAGTATATACAATATATAGCATACGAAAATTATCCCGTTGGTTTATAGCGGAGTTGTGACAAATGTGTTGATAAATTAAAGCTTTATAAAAAAAGTAAATAAATTTATATGGAATAGAGCGAATATCTAATTTTTTCCAGTTTCGTTTACGTAATATATATTTAAAAAAAAATTATATTTTCCAAAAACATTGTAAATTTCCAAATCGCTATTTAATTTTTTTTTTATCAAAAAGTGCAAATTTTTAAAAACTCGAACAATCTCTCTTTCTGTACTCTCGTGTTAACCACTTCATTGTTCGAATACTACCATATCTTTTTCAATTATGAATAATTTTCCTTCGATTTTTGTTAGTTTTGGAGAATGTTACGTCAGTCCTAGAAAGATAAAAGCCCATATAACTCACCATAAATTTCTTATTAATTCGCAAATGTATCCCCTTATAATTGTGTCACCATCTTAATCGCAAACTCTGAAAGAGTGTTATTAAATGGTACATTTTCATATGCAATAACTATGTAAATCTATCACATTCTTAGTAAAAGTATTAACTACTTCATTGGACAATTATAATTTATAACTTTTTATTCAGCTACTAACTTCGAAAAGCACTGAAAATCTCAATCACATCAACTCTGACGGTTATCCACCGCTGCATTTAGCCTGCTTGTCGGACAAGCCGGATTGTGTAAAAGCATTGCTGTTAGCTGGTGCAGATGTTAATATGAATGCCAAAAATATGAGTAAAATATACAAATCGAGTACACCAACATCAGTTGCTGAATTTCTCAAAACTAATGCTAACAAACTGTACACTCAGGATATGAAATTCGGCGGAACTCCTTTGCATTGGTGTTCATCACGGGAGACATTGAATGCGCTCATTATGCAAGGATGCGATATCAATGCGACCAATTTCGATGGACGCACCGCCTTACATGTGATGGTAAGACTAAATCGGTTATTTTTACGTAAAAAACATTTATTAATTGGCTTTTACCCATATGGGCAGGTTGCACGAAACCGTTTCGAATGTGTTGTTACGCTGCTGGCTCATGACGCTGAAATTGAAATATTCGATAAAGATGGTAACACAGCTTTGCATATAGCGATCGAAAAGAAACTTGTGCCGATCGTACAATGCCTTGTGGTCTTTGGTTGCGATATAAATATGAAAAATAAAGATGGCGAGACACCGAGACATATGGTCGGAAACGATTCCAACAGCGGTAAAGATAGTGAAATTCTGTACATCTTGCACTCAGTTGGTGCTAAACGGTGGGTGTTTATGATAATAGAATTGACAAGCTCATTAGCCCTATTCTGCAATTTAAAATCTTGTACTACAATTATATTGGCTAAGATATTTTGTTTTGATAATGAAACCTATGTTTTAAAATAGTTGCCCAGAATCAAGCACCAAATGTCCAGGTGGATGTAACGCCAAAGGATCCTACAATGGTATCCCACCGGAATCTCCCGAGCCAGTTGAGCAACGAGAGCACATTGAGAATATGCTGGCCTCTACTAGTCGTCAAGCGATGGATGGCTTTTTTTCTGTCTCAAATGGTGGCGCCGTAAAGCCAGAGTAATTTTATATGCAGATGGTACAATTATAGTAAATTTACTTTTATCCACTACTTCTTAACAGGCCACCGGTGATCATCGACACAGAAAAGGAGCAAAAGGGTCAGAGTATTATGGATGCTTTATTGGGTATGTTTACGACAAAAGTAAATGCCGACAGTAAGAAAGGTAAGTAAACAAAACTATAAAATACAACATAAATATACACAATAACAAGCTGATCTTGCTTGCTGTTCCGAATGTTTTAGTTTCACCCAGCAACAGCTTGGAAGGTAACGGCAGTGGCGATGCCACCGGTGGAGCGACACCTACAACACCAGCATCCACTGTTAGCGAGGGGAGCAACAAAGGTGAGAAACCATATGGGCGCGGTCGCTTATTGTGCTTAGATGGAGGTGGCATTCGTGGGTTGGTCCTTGTACAAATGTTGCTTGAAATCGAAAAGCTCTCTCAAACACCAATTGTTCATATGTTCGACTGGATTGCTGGCACTAGTACTGGCGGTATTTTGGCACTTGCTCTCGGCTGTGGCAAGACGATGCGGCAGTGTATGGGTGTGTATTTAAGGCTAAAAGAACAATGCTTTGTCGGCTCCCGTCCTTATCCCAGCGAATTGTTCGAAAACATCTTAAAGGATAATTTGGGTCAGTATACTGTAATGACTGATATCAAACACCCTAAAATTATGATAACCGGTGTAATGGCCGATCGTAAGCCAGTGGATTTGCACCTTTTCCGAAACTATCATAGCGCCAGCGACATTCTAGGAATTGTTACACCTATTAGTGAGTAAACATGTTTTACGTGTATAATTTCACTACTCATATTTTTTCTGATATTTACAGGCAATCGTCGTGTGCCACCTCCTCCGCCAGAAGATCAACTAGTTTGGCGGGCAGCGAGAGCCACTGGCGCAGCACCCTCTTATTTCCGGTTAGTTTTCAATGCGTCAATCGAATATATTATTGATGAATTATAGATATATGTTGTAAGCCTTTTTATTATGTTGGATAATTTCTATAATTCTTCAATGATATGTGAATTCTGAGAATTTTAATTATTTATGACATAATTATAAAATGTTTAAAAGTCTAGAATCATAACGTTTTATTCTATTTTCAAATGCCATCTATAAATACTAATCTAAACAACAAAAATTAAGTTCGTGAGTCGCAATAATTTTACATGTTTAATTATATAAAAGCTTTCTAGCAGTTATAACTCCTTTAAACTTGAATCTATTTTCGGCTTGCCTTTTTACGTTCTTTGATTAAATTAGTAATGTATTATATTTAATAAAACAAAACTCTTAAATGCGAAATTTATTCACAATCATGCATCCATTTGCATGCTCTTAGCGCTTTTGGACACTTCCTCGATGGCGGATTAATCGCAAACAATCCAACGTTAGATGCTATGACAGAAATACACGAATATAATATGGCTTTGCGTAGTGTTGGCCGCGAAAAAGAGGCTGTACCGGTAAAATCCTAATTACATTTTCTTTTCTTTTAAGAGTTATGTAATGTTAATAATTTTAAATTTTCACAGGTTTCAATTGTTGTTTCCTTAGGTACTGGTCTGATACCAGTAACCGCACTTAAAGATATCGATGTGTTCCGCCCAGAGAGCATATGGGATACAGCAAAGTTAGCCTACGGATTCTCAACCATTTGTAAGTAAACTGCAACTAATTGCAGTCTAATACATGTACATGAATTCATATATAATACGCATGTGTTGATTAGGTAACCTACTTGTCGATCAAGCCACTGCCTCTGATGGACGTGTTGTTGATCGCGCACGTGCCTGGTGCAGCACTATTGGAGTGCCCTACTACAGGTAAACTGCTATGAAATGCTAAGGAAGATTATTATATACATATTAACTGGCTTAACTCTGTTGGTAGATTCAACCCACAACTATATGAAGATATTGCGATGGATGAGAAGGATGACCTGAAATTGATTAATATGTTGTGGCACTCAAAAGCCTATATGCACAACAATCGGAATAAAATAATAGAAATGATTAATTTATTGAAATAGCATATGAAAAGGGCCTAGAGTGTGTTCTGAATCGAAATTAAAATGAGTAAACTTATGTATTCGTTAGAAAGTAGTTCAAAGAAAATATTGAGAAGTAAGGAGATATTTCTTTAAATGAAAGACCATTAAATTAAATAAATATGTTACTTCAAAGTTTTAAACTGAAAACAATATGTGTAGGTTTATGTAGCTTTTCTTACCACTGCATATACCTAAATACATTTTTCCAATTCGAATAAAATACAAATCCTACTACATTCTAGATTTTAAACGAAAGCGAAATTTAATCTTACTTTGAAAATTGTATTAAAAGAAAAATATATTAGTGTCACCACTATATTCCACCTATCTTTTTAACATGATTTTTTGTAGTCTGACAGATAATTTTTACTCAATGAAACGTCAGATTCGAAATTAGGGAGAGTTTTAAATTATAAATTGTTATGTGGAAAGAAATAAAATAAGAATTTAACGCCGAAATAATAATTTTTTTAATCAATATTTTGATAATTTTAGCATATATATATATATACTTACACTTATATATATCTTGAATTAGTTTTAACAATTAGATTTATCACCGTGTCACTATTTATGTGTATTCATATTTAACTTAACTTGCGTGCTTTGTAAGTGTGTGTGTTTGTAAATTGTGAAACTTAATGATTTCCAAGTTGAAAATAATTATTTGTAATATTTCAGAGTAAGTTATTCTTAAACTTAAAAATGAAAAGCATTCCGTTTTAAAAAAATCCAAGAAAAAAAATTGCGATTTCCTGTCTTGCGCTTATATACTACATATATGTATAAATAGCATAAATTATTATATAAATATGCATGTACATGTGTATCGTTTCATTGACTATTTCACTTTCACATACATATATATGTACTTCAGTGTAAATATTTACTGTATTTTCACAAATATTACAGTTTTATTCAAATAAATTTTATTGAAAAGTGTTTTATCTATCGTTTATTTCACCACCCATAAGAGTTGAAGGATAATGTGCGAGTATTTGTTGAGCACATCAGTTGGGAATATTGCAATGGTATACCATGAAGTGCATGAAATCCATTATTTGTTTTGTTAATAGCAGGTTCAATTAAACATAATTCACCTGTAGACTTCTCCCCAGAACAGGATGTATTATTATTCTAGTGAAACCTGTGTTTTGATATTCGAAATATTTTCGTGGAAAATTTGTTAGGAAAAAAATAATTCTCATAAATATCTATTTAATTTATAAGCCGAGTGTAGTGCTATTAACATCAATCGATAGATTTCATCGATTTTACTTTAACTTTGTTGGCAACGCAAGTCTATTGTTTAACAATTGTTATGATTTAATAAGAATGATGGATTGCTAATTCCGGCGGTTGTGATATTAGTGGAAAACAGCTATCAATACTTTTAAAAAATAAAAGTTTTAAATTAAGTTTGCGCTAACAAAGCGCAATGTATTCTTCTGCGAAAAAATTGCAACGAGTGTTGTCCTCGCAAGAAATACGCAAGACATTCATTGACTACTTTAAAATAAATCATGACCATAAGTTTGTGCGATCCAGTCCAGTGGTGCCATTTTGTGACCCTACGGTGGCTTTTGTTAATGCTGGAATGAATCAAGTATGTATTAAAAAAAACTAGCTTAATTACATTTTGTATGTATGTCTTTTGTATAGTTTAAGTCAATTTTTCTGGGCAAGTCCCAACCGCCCTATCCTCGGGTAACCAATTCCCAAAAATGTGTACGTGTTGGTGGCAAGCACAATGATCTTTCTATCGTTGGCCAAGACGGCTATCATCACACTTTCTTTGAAATGTTGGGTAACTGGTCATTCGGAGACTATTTTAAGGTATTCATAATTAATATAGTTCTTTTATGATATACATTTATATACATTCGTAAATTTTATTTCACAACAGCGTGAAGCCTGTGAACTAGCTTTAGAACTTTTGCGAGGTCCTTACAACATCGATCCTAACAGGTTATATGTAACCTATTTTGCCGGAGATAGGTTGTTGGGTTTGCCTGCCGATTTGGAATGCTTCGAAATATGGCGCAGCCTTGGGTGAGTAAAAAGAATTAAATATCATAGATTTTTTCATATTAAATATTAAATTCATAACAGATTTCCAGCTGAAAAAATATTGCCTTTTGGTTGCAAAGAAAATTTTTGGGAAATGGGTGCTACTGGCCCATGTGGACCTTGTACGGAAATACATATTGATCACTGTCCAACGGGTGGAAAAAGTCATGAGCGAGCGAAATTCGTCAATGCTGATAGACCAGATTTAACAGAATTATGGAATTTAGTTTTCATACAATACAATCGGTAAAACCGTGAATTTTAAATAATAAATTAAATGAACCTATAATGAATATTTTGGTTTAGCAATGAAGACGGAACTATAACTCAATTACCAGCGCGACATGTAGATACCGGCATGGGTTTCGAGCGACTAACTGCTATTTTACAGAATAAATCATCAAATTATGACACAGATCTCTTTACGCCGATTTTTAATGGCATCAAAAGGGTAGCAGCTGTTTACGTAGATATTAGCAATTAAGTGATTTTTTTTTTGTTTCTTAGATAACACACGCACCACACTATAGAGGTATATTTCCAACCTCTGCGGAAGCTGCAACGTTGGATACTGGGTATAGAATTCTGGCAGACCATGCGCGCATGATAACGACGTGCTTAGCCGATGGCATGTTACCTGATCAGAAGTACATACATATAATGATTTTTGTGATTATGAAAAAGTATAAAGTAACTTTATCAATTCATCAACTTTTTTTTTTGTTGTAGCCAAAAACTTCGCAGAGTTTTACGAAAAGCCTTTACTATAAGCGAAAATGTGTTTGCAAATGAGACATTGCTCTCACAAATTGTACCTTTTGTTATAGAGACTATAGGAATGGCATATCCAGAAATGTATCACAAACATAATTCCATACTCGAATTAATAGCACATGAACAAGAAGTTTTCAAGTCATTGCGAGAAAGCTCTTCCAAAGCATTTGCTGAGGTACTAACGGAATTTCCAAACTTAGAAGAAGTTGATTTAATGGAGTGTCCTGGATTTGTGCCAGCTTACAGAGATTTTCAAGCACAAAAGAAATTCTTCAAAAACAATACGTTACCCGGTAAATTTCTGTATAAACTTACAGATACTTATGGTTTGACTGAGGAGAACTTTAAAAAGCTTGCAGAGTTAGAAAATATGGAATGTGATTTGCATGGCTACCTCAAAGAAATAACGAATGCTAAGCTAAAATCAAAATCTTCCTTGAGCAACGGAAGTGGCAGTGGTGAAAACAAACTAGAAAACCAACGGAGGGTAAACGAAGCATTACTGCAACTCACACAAAAACTGAGTCAAACAGATAATAGCTGGAAATATAATTACAGTTACGATGTAGCTAAAAAAAAGTACCATATACCTGCACTTTCGACTCAGGTACTCGGTATGGTCTTCCGAGGAAAAGAAATGGACACTGTTTCATTAGATAGTACGACATCTGGGTTTTTATATATTGTAACAGATGCGAGTAATTTTTACTATGAATCCGGTGGTCAACAAGCTGATACTGGCACAATCCTTTTATTAACTGAAAATGGAGATCCTCAGCTTAAACTACCGGTTTTAGAAGCAAAAAATATAAATGACTGCATTGTACACGTCTGCGAATTGCCTAAATTGGAAAAGCACTTTACTCTGAAGACTGGCGATCAAGTTGAACTTTTGGTAGATGCGAATCAGCGCGAACTGATAACATGCCATCATACAGGTTAGCTAAATTTATTTTAATTTTGTATCATTTTCTATTAGTTAAAAGAATGTTTTTCTGCCTATATTCTATTTGTATGTCTAAAGCAACCCATTTGCTAAATGGTGCCATTCGGTCGTTGTTCAAAAAGGTCACATATCAAGTGTCTAGTGGTGTTACAAGTAAGAACTGCAAACTTGAAGTGGGCCTAATTGGTAAACGTATTAAGAAGGAGGACGTTACCCGGCTAGAGAATATGATTACGTAAGTGCATTAAATCATTATTAAAAATCGGTAATTAGTGCTCATTTAATAATTTTGCTAATAGGCAGACTATAAAGTCCAAATCGCCAATAGATGTTAAAACCATAAATGCTAGTGATGTATTGCAGGAGAATGATGTCACTATGGTACCCGGTGAAATATATCCTGAAACTGGTTTACGGTTAATTACAGTAAATTGTGAGGACTCCCAATTGCTATCAAAGGAATTGTGCTGTGGGACTCATGCTATAAATACTCAGGAACTGGAGTACTTCAGCATAACAAATTTAAGACAAACGAATCGTGCACGATACGCTTTTACTGCAGTCGCTGGTATGGCAGCGGAAAATGTATGTTAAAAACATTAGCGAAATTCAGTAAATGAACAGGCGTTTATTACTCGATTTTAAGAACTCTCTTACATTTGCGATTGTAGGCTCTAAAAACAGCGGCCCTTTTGCAACATCGCGTGGATATGTTAGAAAAACAATTTAATTCTGATAAACTCACGAATGCTACAGAGGTTGAATTGCAAAAGATACGGCATCATTTGGTGCACACGGAAGTTGCGCTGCCTTACGTTTTCAAAATCGATACAATAGAACGCATCAATGATATATTACGTCGGCTTAAGGAAACAACTCGTACAACCTTGAAGTAAGTAGTTTTTTGTTTTGGTTCACACAAATTTCCTTATTTCATGCGCTTGCCAACCGTAGAGAATTTGTTGAGGTGGAAATGAAGACATTACTGCAAGAAAAACCTATCGAGCATCATCCATTCTTAGTGCACTATCTCACGAGCTCAGCTTTGGTCGATGAAGTGCCGCTACAAAGAGCTACTAAGCTTTGCTCAGATCGTCCGATACTCGTTGTCAGCATGTGTGATAGCATTGTTAAGGCACGTTGTTGTGTTCCTAAGGTACTATGAGCGCTAAATTTTTTATGTTTTAATTTTTCATTATGTACGCTCAAATTTTAACAGAAATTTATCAGCGATCAGTTTGATGCGGAGCAATGGCTTAAAGAATTCGCAACGGTTTTTAAAACACAAGTAGCCGCTCCGAAGGGCCAAAATTCTGCGGAGGTGTGCAATATGAAAGGTAAAAAAGTTTCTACTCAATTCGAAGAACAGTTGGAAGTGGCGATCTCCAAAGCTCAGGCCTTTGCTGCACAACGTTTATTGTTGTGATTTTACTTTTAATTTACTCAAAGACCAAATTACTTTTGTCTCCGCTTTACTTACCTTCTAACGTATGCTGAAACATAAATTCATCCTAAATAAAAAGCGTATTCAGAATAATCAATATTTTATTTAAAAATTTACATTTTGCAAATTTCCTTATTAGTAGTTCCTAATAACAAGTGTATGTTCTTAATGTAACGAAACTAAGCTTAGTTTTATAATACGACTACTTTAAACTTAAAATTTACGCATCATTATGGTCTTCTTCGTATTCATAATCATCATATTCGTCATCTGAAAAATATTATGGTTAATTATCGAGCGATAATAATGGAAGTAGCGTAGTTAATCATACCATGATCTCTCCGCTTTCTCGCATAAGCACGTTTTGCCACTGGCGCTTGATCAGTTTCGCCATGTAGTAGTGAGTTTCGATATAGAACAAGTGGTTGCCATTCCTCAGATCTACTAGAAGGCATGCCCGGCGATATACGACGATCAAGAAAACTCAATATAACCTTTTTATCCTGCTTTAACAATTTGTTGTTAAACTCATTTAATACTTCAAGGAATAAAAGTCGTGTTGGTGCCGCCACTGGATCTTCAGGTACATCGCCTACAGCAAAGAGTATTCCGGCGCGATGTAGTGCAATGACTGGTTCGCGATTTTTAATAGCATCAAAACCAAAAGTCAATGCAAAACGCTTAGCCAATTCCTTTAAATCGGAAAATTCGTGTGAGTTTTTTGAAATGATATCATTATCAGACTGTTGCTGCAGCTCTTTGAAGACTGCTATTAAACTGAGCAGCAAAGTCAAAGCGAAATTAATTTTGTTTATTTCCCGCGCCTTGCCAAGTGTAGCTTTAATGATATCACCATATTCATTATAACACTGAAAGAAGATGAAAATGAATGTGTGGAGGTAAGATTTTGACATACAGAATAATACAACATGAATTCTTCGTGCATGTACACCTAAATATAACGATAAGGAGTATTTCTTTGTTTTCGTGTTTCCCAAACCCACCACAACGGGTAAGGCTTGCTTACTTACCTTCACATAGTGCTTAAACATTCCCGCTGCACTCTTTGTAGGTATTATATTGTAGACGACTAGTTTGCAGAAGGAGGCCAGGAAGTTACGTTTTTTGTGTAGTTCTTCGATTCGTGTCTCGTCTTGAACAACTGCAATGAAATATACGCACTTTAACTTAAAAAATAAAAAGAGCTCTTAGATACCTTCTTGTTTAATTGTAAAAACATAATGCTGTACGAAATTATTCAGTATGAGCTGCTCGTCCAGCGTTGATTTATACTCCAAGCTGCGTATATTTTCATTCTCATTCTTTGAAAGTTGATCCGAAAACACAATTAAAAGATCGCATATGGACTGATATGCCTGATAATTGATGGGTAAAAGGAGTTAGTTTACATATGTACATCTATATATATATTTTTAGTAAGAAAACAATTCATTCACTAACCGACTCTTGGATTTGTTCCGTTGGCCCATCGCGTGTTAATTCAAAACAAGCCGCTATATACTTCACTAGATTATCGCGCAATTCAGCGCTTACGGTGGCAACGTTACTACTCTCACACTGATTTTCCACAAAATGTAGACCCCAACTTATCGAAAAGTAGCAGGCTTCGATGCAATAGATCAACGCTTCGTTAGGCAGTGTACGACCTGTATTTTCTTTAGACTGACACTCGTCGACGTCTTGGAAAATTGAGTCGAATAGATTCCAAGGATTGAGATTATGTGAAGCATAGAGTATGGATATAACTTTAAGTGAAATTGTTACATTGTAGATTTCATCTTCATTTGGTTGTTCTTCGCCTGAAATTGATTAAGCAAAATTTATGATGAATCTAGTGTCTAGTACAACTCAAATTTCTGTCTCAACCAACCTGCTATCAGGTTACGCCAATCATCAATAGCATCTTTATATTTGTTTACCGCATTATCGATTATATTCGAACGTGCCACATCACAGCGTGTGTAGGTAGCACTTCCTTCAGTACATAAGTACTCAAGTGTTTTAGCACACGTTTCCAGTACCTCACGGTCCGTATGCACTGACATTATGTAACTCATTTTATCTAACAAAGCCTGCAAGTTCGATTCTTGCCTATTTGTAGTATATATATCTAATTCAAAATATTGTGGTACAGCTAATAGATTTGCCAACTTTTCACTATCCGCTTGATATTTCTCTAACAGAGGCGGAAGTGTTGCAATGAAGTGTTCGGTTAGACGTACTTTTTCATCTTGTATTGCCTTTAATTCTTTTGAGCTTAAAGTTATTTTTCGATTACTAGCACGTCCAACAGGAGCTTCGCCTGTCGCCGATTGCTTCACACTGCTAACCATAATTTCGATAAGAGTGGACTCTTGCTTATTGTCTAATACCTCTTCATTCAAACCTGGTTCTTCGAGCAATAGGTCGGTCATACACTCCCAATCTTTCACCATGGCGTTATTGTCAATAAAAGAGTCCACCAGGTAAGCACCATGCTCATGTAGTTCGGACTCAATGAAGAACTGTACCAAGTCTCGAATGAGTGGTGTATTGGGCAGGCGTATTTTTCCCCGTCTTGTTTTCGTCTCTTCCATATCAGCAGTTAAATGGAAAAGACGTACATTTAGAAACTCTGCTGCCGCTTGTGCGACACCACGATGCGAGGAATAGACAAGTTCATAAACAATTTCACAATCCTTATCGGCCAATATGTCTGGATGTATTCTGAAATAAATGATAATATTAAAAACCAAATATTTCTTAGCTGGACATATATATTTCACTTCAATATGCTGATAACCAATTTCACTGCATGTACTGCGACCTCAAACTCTTTATCCAAAGTCATAGCGACAATACGATCTTTAAATTTTGATGTGAAAAGTTCCAATTTTCCTTTCAGCTCTTCTTTGTCGTACAAGGGCAGCAGCGCTTGTAAACACCGTAGCCGTACTTCACCGACTTTATCGTGTAAAGTCCATCCGATGTATTTTAAATATGAATCATCGAGGAAATTTTGTGGATAATTTTCCATCCACACCCCGATTTCAGCCATGCAAATAGCTCGGATGTCTGGCAGGGTGTCTCTGAGAACAGAAAAAAATATTTACTTTAAAAAGTTTTTTCAAACATAACTCTCCTTACCTGTAACGATGCACAAATACGGATTTGAACATATAGGTCAACATATTCTTTATTTCATCCATGTTTTCTTCAAGTTCAGCTCGCTTCGTCATCAAAGACTCTAGTCGATCTGACGCCCGTCGGTCTCGTGACTAAATTTATTATGTTGAAGGCAATTGTTTTAAAAATTACTGTGGGCTGAAGTATTGCCATCATTATTGTATTTTACTCACCTTAACCCGCTCAGCTTCATATTGTTTAGCAGCATTTTCAAAGTTATTAGATACAAGTAATGCTACATCAACCAAAGCGGTCATTAACTTCATAGCTGCTAAAGTTGCAGTGTGGCGAAATGCCCGAACTTGCGAATCAGAGAGACCGGTCAAAAGCGATATTACATTATCCATTAAAAACTGATCATATATAATAGAATATTGACACTGTTTAACCAAAGTTTGAACAAAGTCACAAAAATTCATTTTAAATTTCTTCCATTGTTGCCCAGGCATTATTAAGGGATACTCGCCACTTTCCTATGAATATATAGAAAATCATACATATATATTTTCTTTCTTTTCATCCAACCCATTTAAGCCCTAACCTCATCGAATTCCTCAGTCATTTTTCGAATTACTGCTGTATGTTCCATGGGGTGTGGCATATCTTCGGATATTTTTCCTTTGCAACCACTTGCATTAATAAAAAATTGCATTAGAGCGATTAATGCAGAGTCTCTGTTTTGTTTGTACTTTTCAATCCAGTCATCAACAATACTCTAAAAAAAAATTATTTACTATATGCCTATTTGGAATTCCGTTCTTTTCTTACCGCTATTGCTGACTTGGAATGGCGCACAATAAAATATAAACTATTTTCATCAGTGGTTACATCTCGTTCCATATCAACACGCTCCTGCTCTTTTTCGATGTGTTCCTTGCGTGGTCTTTCCACGCGTTCCCGGCGCTCGCCTGGCGGCTTTCGGGGCCCTGGTTGTTTTCTCTTGCGCGCAACCGGTGCAAAAAAGTCATCTTCATCATCATCGATTATTGGAGGCTTGTCACGCACTCCTCCCCTCGCACGGAGACGAGTCATACGCTTCATAGGACTGTCTCCATCGGATGTACTTTCATTTAACACTTCACTATATGCAAAAGTATGCATGTGCAAATGCACATAGGTATATGCATCAAATTTATTGTACAGTCCTAAAAATGTTGAACATTTTACTCACCCTTGTTCTTCATATTCTGGCGGCGGATCATTCATCCGAATTCTCTTGCCACCCCGTCGTGCCATCATTATAATCTTATATACGATTTTCTATTTTATTTTGCTTTATATCAAATTTTCTTCTGTTAATTAAAATCCAACATAATTTTCCGATATTATATTTGCTAGATGTGTACATTAAAAGCTATAAACTAGTACTGTGTCGAAAGTATCGAATAGTATAACATTACTCGATTAAATACTAAAATATTAGAAACAGTAAAATGAAATATTATATACGGAATATATTTTATTTTCGATTATTTGTTTGATTTATCTTGATTTATTTAATTGTTTATATAAATCATGGGAGGCGAATTTTCTGGGTTTTTACGCAAAATCCAATAAGCTTATCGACATTAATCTTTAGATAATGACCGTGAGAAGCACCGCGTTACCAACTATATTGATACCCGGAAATTTTTACCAAATTAAGTAAAAACATTTTATATTAGCTCGTCATGGTTTTAATTAATGAAATACAGCAAAATATGAAATAAAACACAACAAGCCATTAAGTGAAATTTCAATCTTTGACCTGCGAAACAGAGTATATGATTTTAAACAAAAGCGTTGCCAGCCAAGAGCATATTTTCTTTGGCGCCAAATCTGTTGGGCAGCAATCAAGAACATATGCAAACCTTTTGTTGTAAAAGTCGTGCTGTTCTGTGGTATATACTTCAATTTGTTTATACACTGTTTTGAAGATAATAGAACGATGCCTTCTGTTAACGTTAATTTTTCACCAGAACATTTAACTACTAAAGATGGTAGTGCATTTGTTGCGTCGTTGGTAGATCCGAAGGTATGGTCTGGAATACAGCTGCTAAACTATACTCCTTTGCATGAGCTAAAGGATATGAGCATTGTAAGGTTTCGAGGTATGATACAGGACATGCAAGATCCGGAAATGTATTTGGAACGTTATGAAGTCATAAAAGAAGACAGCACTTGTAGATTGCAAGAAGGCAAGTATCGTGATTGTTTGTTGTTAAATGACGGAGAGCGCGTAAATCATGATGCAAAAGCAAACGTTCATGGGGAACGCCGAACATTCTTCGTTATATCAATACCCGGCCTGAATGACTGGTGTCAAGAATATGAATCTCAGTGCAGTCGCTATAATTTTTCCAAACACGTAAAAACGGAGGTATCTGGGGGTAAGAAGCGATCAGCACCTATAGAAGATGACAGCATGCAATGCGAAACCAGTAGCGAGCCAAATGCAGATACTGATGTTAATAAACGAAAACGTACAGAGGGACAAGTTGATGAATCTACCAGTGTTGGCGAAGTTAATCACAGTTCCAACACAGTCATAGGTATGGAATATCATTTAAATTCACCGATTCCTAGTCGTCCTAGCAAAGCTTGCATGATAAAAATATATGAGGACTTTGAAAAATATAAATTGAACACCATTGTTGATGTCATTGGCTTCCTATCAGTAAATCCGGCATTAGATGCGTCAACAATGGATGTCGATATGTTCGATAATATAAACGAGATTCAAGCTCAAAACCCACCACCGTCATTAATTCCACGTCTTCACGCGATAACCGTTCATAGCTTACCTCATCCCAACCCATTATTGGATGAGAGGTTACTTTGGAGTAGGGATGAAAGGAATTCCACAGATCTTATTGATGATTTTAATATGTTAGCTGCGGGAAACGAGTTTCGCAATTTCTTGAAACTTTGTTTATTCAATGACAGTTTATCGGCCGAATATCTTTTATCACATCTTATATCTTCAGTGTAAGTAGTAATTGATACTAGTCTCGAAAGATTAAATGAAATCGATGACTAGAACGTAACTCTTCACAGGTATTGCAGAGCTGAATCCCGATGCCTTGGCCGGTTCCTATTGAATCTTTTCAATATTCCGCACAAAAACATTCCACAATATACAAAACAACTTTATAAACTATTAGATTTGCTAATACCAGCCAGTCACTACATCACAATGACAGCGGATACCTTAAACGACTCCACTTTTGGACCAAAGTAAGGCATCAAACTAAGGCATGCCAAAAACAATTTATCTTAATTATCTCTTACAGAAAGGATTATGAGACCAACAAATTGGTTTCAGGTATGCTGCAATTGGCACCCCAAACACACCTTGTAATAGACGAGACATTCACGAAATCCGAAACGTTAAACAGTAACGGTATTTTGTCTATGCAAATTCTCGGACATGTTATGAAGTATCAGCAGCTGAAGTGTAACTTCCAATACTATGAAATTGAATACGAAGTAGATATACCAATACTGTGCTTGAGTGAAAATAAAAGTATCTTGCCGGTAGGTTTTTGTTGGAGCATGTATTCGTGAATATTAATATTATATTTTACATATATATTTTGTTACAGTATGATGTATTTGTTCCCATCGAATATGATGATCAATCCCTACAAGTAATTGAAGAGTCTCTAAAGGCAGCAAGCCACTATTTGAATGCAACACGCTTAAATCACTTTAGACGCTTTCTTACTAAAGCTAAATTGGCTGAATTTAGCGTAAATCCAGCCGAAAGTGAAATGGTTCAAAATGATTTTGTGGAAATGCGCAAAAATAAAACAATTCGAGATGCAGACGAACTACATCATTTGTTGGTATTGGCTCGTCTTCTGGCAGTTGCACGAGGCAAAAATATGCTAGATAAAGAATCGTGGGAACTGGCCAAACAAATGGAGGCTACACGTCAACGAAGATTGATTGAAATTTCCCCATAACAGTGAATGAACCGAAAATTATATACAAAGTATATTTTGTCACGATTCATTTATTTATAAAATAAATTATTTTTAATTTTATTAAGTAAACTACGTGGTCTGGTTATTTGTATGAATTGAATATTTGTTATACAACAAAGAAAAAATGGTAGAGGTATGTATGTCAATGAAAACTTTGCATACTTCGATTTATTAACCCTTTAGACGAATTCGAATATTCCAAGATTGACACTTTGTAGCCGATGATTTTCGGCTTGACTTTTGAGTGGCCCCCATAAATACAATTATAAAATAGAACGGTTTATGCTATTTTAAATCATTTCATTTTATTTTTAAGCTTTTAAAAATACAAGTTAAATTTGTATATTTCAATGCTTTAGTAGCACCATCATTTCCAAGTCAAGTACTACCAATACTAATACGTAGCCGAACCAGCAATAAACATACCTGCAATGAAAAAATACATATTTTTGAAAATAGTTCAAATTACATTAAACTAAAATAAGGAAATCTTTTTAAATCAGACGGTATTTTGCGTTGGATAATGGGACAGTTCTCTTCATGATTAATCGAAGCGAGCTGGGTCAAAGTATCATCATATTAGCTTAATGTGGACGTGTGTTATATTAATACTTGAGATCAGATATTAACGATTTTTTTTATTATTATACAAGATTTGCAGTTTTGATAACTGAATTTAATTGATCAATATTATAAATTTTAAAATTTTCTATTAATGAATTTAACCTTTTTGTTGACGTTTCTTGATCCAAGTTAACACACTAAATAGCATACTGTCTGATTTTATATTTACCTTTTAATTAAATCCAAAAATAAGCCACCATTATCACGACTTTCTGAAAAAAAAAATGGAAATTGATTAATAAATTCAATCATCAATAACAAATATTTGTTTGAAGATTTTTCGTCAGTGTGGATTTAGTGTCATTTAACAGTCAAATGATGGGGAATCCGCAAATATATCATCACCTAAAGCAAAAATTATAATTTTTCATAAATACTTACACATTCGAAATCAACATTTAGACTCGATTCGCTTTATCTGCAAAGAGAAAGTATACATTTTATTACAACTTTATTGCTGAGAATTTGTTTTAAAAATTTTTGTTTAGTTTTTTCATCAGCAATTTTATTTGCGTTGGATAATGGGACAGTTCTCTTCATGGTTAATCGAAGCGAGCTGGGTCAAAGTTTCATCACAGAATTAAAATAAAATACAAGAAATTTAATACCTTATTTTAAATTTGAATTAAATATTTACCTTCAAGTTTTCCGCATGTTTATGTTTCTGATCCAAAAATATAGTGATTTCATATCTGTAAGAAGATGAAGATTATAAGCTACAGACGAAATCATCTAAAAAAATTGGAAAACAATTTTTTTTTTTCAGAAAGTAATATTTGCGTTGGTTTTTGGGACAGTTCTCTTCATGATTAATCGAAGCGAGCTGGGTCAAAGTTTCATCACAAACTAAAAATGATATAAATAAAGAATAATAAATTTTATATTTACCTTTACACGCTTACACTGGCTATAGATGACTTGCGCGCCATATAAGCAGACCAATCTAAATATAAAAATAATTACGTTAATACAAATTACAAAATTATTATTTTAATTCTGAGAAGTAGAAATTCAGTTTGGATTTAGTGTCATTTAACAGTCAAATGATGGGGAATCCGAAAACATATCATCATATAAACGAACATAATTCAAGATATTTAATAATAATTCATTTAAAAATATAAATTAAATATTTACCTTCAATTTTTCTGATGTTTGTTGAGCAAAAATTTAGTTTAGAAAAAGCATCTGAAAAGAAAATACAGATTATTACATATTGCTACAAATATATCATAATATATGGGAAACATATTTTTTCAGAAAGTAATATTTTGCGTTGGTTTTTGGGACAGTTCTCTTCATGGTTAATCGAAGCGAGCTGGGTCAAAGTTTCATCATTTAATTATATTAAAATTTAGTCTCAATGTTCAAAAACTAAATCTCACCTGTTTAAATGAATAGCTGTTTTTTTTTAATGAAGCCTCAATTAAACCGATACTGGTACATCTGAAATACGAAATATACAAATTAGTTATTTTTGAAAAATAAAAACACGCCGTTCAAAAAAATTCTATTGAAAAGAATCAGTTCTACTATCTAAATTTTGTAATACTTTCATGAACTATCAAGTTACAGTAACAGTTATCATCAATATAAATGAAATAAATGTCAGTCACTAAATTTATTTACTTATTACCTTCAGTTAATATCCTGGTATATATTAGGCACTTTCACGGGAATGGAAGCTGCAATAAAATATGGTATAATTTAGTATTTTTTTTCTAACAAAATAAAATTAGTATACAATTTTTTATCAGACTAAAGTTTACATCAATGAGGTTTTCAAGAGTAGCAAATAATAGTAAGTACATCATTAATTTATTTATGCTTATATAAAACTTAAAATAATACGTACCTTATGTTATTACCAAGTCCCGTTGAAACAATTATCAAGCACTTAATAATTCTGAAATATAACAGAGAAATACATATATATATATAAATCCAGGGGTTAATTTAAAAATCAAACAAAAAATTATATATGTAAATACATATATCAGAAAATATTGTCATCAAAGTCTTTTCAAGAGTAGCAAATAAAATATACAAAAAACATCATAATATCACAACATAATAGAGATTAAAAGTTATTTATTTCAACTTACATTCTTATTTTAAAACTTCAGGACTGTGACGCCAACTGAAAAAAAATATACATGAAATATTAACGAATGTACATATAATTTTTAACTTTATTTCAAATTTATATGAAATCAGAAATCATTTGACATCACATTTTATGAAATCAGCGACGAAAAATATTGAAAACATCATGCTAATTCATACAAATTTCAAATATGTAAATTTATTTACCTTTTTTTCTTCAATGTTTTCCAACCAGATTTCGAGCCAAGCTTACGACTTCCACTGAAAAAAAAAACAACGGAACTTCTTCCCTTCTAGCCACACTACTTACAAAAAATTAAAAAGCCATATTTATTGTTTTAGGCAAAACTCCTATCTGCGAGTTTTGGTTTTTCTTTCCATTGTATCATCTACATTATAAAATCAAACTTTTAATTTATTAAAAATTTTAAACGGATTCCTGCACAGGTGGTTCATAACCCTCGGGCCTTTCAACAACAGCACCTTCCGAAGAGACAACGGCGTCTGTACCCTTGCTGCCACCATCACCGTGTAATTCCAACAATTTGGACAGATCAAAACGGGGCTTCTTTAATACCTTTACTTTGCGAATGTAAACATCGTACAATGGGTAGATGCGTTGGCATTTCTTCTCAATATCCTTGGCAATGGAGTCAAGAGCCAGTTTGTTCACCAATTGCTTCAAATCAGAGCTGGTCACATCGTTGGTGATGATTTCAGTCATCTTTGAACGAATGTTACGCACTTGGGACTGCTGAGCGTAGCATTTTTTACGATGAGATTGTTGATCCTTAGCGGTGAAACCAATGCAGAATACACGGAGCATGTAACCGTCAGTGGTCTTAGCCTCAACAATGGCTTCGATAAGTGTTTGCCATTTCTTAACCATAGACCTAAAATTGAAATTACGTGCATTATTATAATATACAAATAACATTCATAACATAAAAAGAACAACATGTAACAGCACATAAATGTATACAAACTAATCCCTAATTGGGAACATAGGAAACTGTTCCTCAGGGTGCCGTTTGCACATTTTTATATTGGAGCATCGTAGAGGCAAAGCACAAAATTACTAAGTACTTTGCCTGAATTATACGTCCGAATGTATATATGTATACATATGCGGTATTTAGTTTAAGAGTATTTATATGCTTTTGGAAGATTCGCTTAAGAATTTATTTAAAAATTTTTTGTTTCTTCGAACTTTTGATGAATTCGTAATAGCCACAAACATACATACAAAATAACCACATTTCTCACTGTTCTATTAATCAATAATCACTCCTACGTTAGGCCACTATATTCTTACCTGTACTTATCTGTGGTCAAGTCCATGCCATGGAAGTTGCAAAGTACGTTGCGATCCTGGACGTCTTCAGCAATCAAACGGAACTTGCGGTAAGAGCGATCAGAATCGTTATCGTTTTGCAAATCGGCCAAAGATACTTCGAACACACGGCCCTTCAAGTAATCGGATGCGATTCTTTGACCCTGGGTGCGGTTTACCAAAGTTTTGCCAATTTGGCGGGTCACGAACATGTTTGGTGCTTTCACATCGTACCAATCTTTGCGCGAGAAGGGATCTACAACCTTCTTCTTGCCACCTTTTTTACCTCCTTTAGAGAGACCCTTATTTTTACCGACCGCCATCTTCAGAGCTCAAAGCGGAAAAAGATCGAATCACGTTGACGTCGTAATGTCAAAAGAAGGAAATGCGACATGAACGCCACTGAAGTGTAACTTTAACGGTGCTACCATAACGAAAGTTTAAAAAAATATATAGAGGTTCTATGAAAATAACAAAAAAAAATATATTTTTATATGAAATGAGTTTAAGATAAGAGGGCACGAAATTCTAATATATTTATTAACAGCAAATGAAATTCAATTCGGTAGATGAATTGAAGAAAACAGTGCATTCACACACATGGAGAGCAGGTAATGAATGATCCGTCTAATCAGAAAGCATTTTTGAGTCGGCTTTCTGTACGTTGAAATCAGAGAACGTAAATATAACGAGAAGGTTCAGGGCGTGCCGATTGTCATTTTGTTCCGCTTTGCAGTCGACGCCAGTTTTCTATGGATGCATTTCACCCCAGATTTCGATGAGCGCTGTTCACCACATTTTAACAGAGAACTAGCAGAATTGTGCTCAAAATAGTAGAATGAGTACAATAATGAGAATTTCCATGCAAAATAAATGTAAAATGATAAAAACCTATTGAAGATAAATGTAAACAGCATACATGTATTATCAGAATTTTCTGATTTCAATTTCTGTTTATTTGCTTATATTAATTTGCAAATTTACTAATTTTTGGAATTTACTATTTTATTTTTATTTACTTACATAATTCTAATTTTTCTAATAATTTTTTAATAATAAAATTATTGGTAGTCATTATAATTAAGATATAACAAAACAAATTTAATTTAATTCTTTCATATATTATTCATTTTTGGCGTAAATATCGAAATAAGTAAACAAGTCAATATTCATTCATTCATTTAAACGTATGAGCGTGCGTACATACATATGTACATATTATATATGTATGTACATATGTTTGCTTATGCGTATTAAGAAGAAGCAAAACGTACACATCTAGCAAAAAAAAAAGCCAAGCCATCACCATGACAACACTATTTTAATAGCAAAAAAGTCCTTCTCGAGACGAACGCTGGCGCACCGTCTACCAAGCGAGCTGCGCAGACAGCACACAACTCCCCGCATGCGACTCGCGAGCAAACCTAAGTGCCAAAAATTTAAAGTTGAGCAAATTTGTGTCTTCTTCGACAACAGCAAATCGCGCACTCGATAGAGTGAACTTTTTGTTAAGAATTACAAAACTTATTTAAAATGAATGCCAAACAAATGTTTAGAAAAAAGTCTCATTATTTTTAAACATGAGCTTTTTCATTTAATTTATGTTTAGAAATTCGAAAAAATGTAAAATTTAATAAGAAACTTGAAATCAATGAGGAATTAATTCACTATATACAAATGACGCCTATAATTTCTAAAACTTCCTCGATTTTTAAATTAATGCATATTTTTATTATGAAAAATACAGGATTATTATTTAAAAAAGTTAATTAACTTAGGACAATTAAAGATTTCAATAAAAATTTCAAATATATGAAGTTATATACGAATCACTCCTTTAGCTGTTGACTAGCGACTGATATATTCGTGGTATACAAAGTTTACTGTACCTGAATTCGTACACCAAAATGCGAAAAATATGAAATCGAGCAAAATTTTGTGATCGTCGCGAAGAAATCGCTTGTGGATGGCGGGGTATAAGAGCAAGGGCTCGAGCATTGTTAAGATTGTGTGCGTTTTGCGTATACATATTAAATTGCTTGCATGTATGGGTTTTCACTTTGCGTGAGTTCAACATCAATTTTTCGATTTTTGCTAAAATTTGACTTCGACTTGAGGAAAGTGTTTGTTGATGAAGAGTCGAAGGAAAGGGGGTTTACTCGCCTTCATTGAAATCGAACATTCTAGAATGTTCTAGAATTTTCTAGAACTTCTAGAATATTATAGAAATCCTCGCCACAATTCAACTTGTGGACAAGGTGCATGCGGGAAGGCAAGGAAATTGCTTGCTGGGCAAAATGAGCTAACAGGCGAACAGCATATTTAGTAGCACAATACCTATTTGCTTCAGTTCTGCAGACCATGATTGAATTTTTGTCAGTCGCAAGAATTTGAAGAAATGCTTGTGGACGATACATGAATGTTACGGGTTGAAGGAAAAGGGCATGCTTTGTATGTTGTTGGTGTTGCTTCACTTTTCTCGACCATAGTGATTTTGTGTGTTTGTGTTTTTTGACACTGTCGCGAAGAAGCAACTTGTTGGTAGGGCATGCGCGGTGGTGTTTATGAATGGACGCAATATGCTTTGTTGTAGGGCGCAGGCGTCTATGAATGAAAATGTTATTGTTGTATTTGATTTCAGCTTTTGGGCGAGAGAAGCATTTAGAGGGAAGTATGTTTTCACATAAGCAATGCCTTTGTAAGTTTTTGCCTATGCGTGTAAGAATACTTGTACATACATATGTACATACATACATACAACTCATTAATATGTTAAAGTTACAATTAAATTAAAATTCAGATCAAAAAATCCTCCTTATAAAATACGCTATTGCGAAATGCCGACGGCAAATCGTCCCTTCATAAGGAAATTCTTCACTATTAGATAATACAGAAATTTGAAAAAGATGTACAATACATTAATGAAATAAATCCTTTCACCCCCATTCCAAAAAATATATTAATAATTTGAGAATAATATTTTCGTTTATTTTGATAAAAAGCCTACAAAAA